AAGATTTGGAAGCTGGAAATTAGATGGGCAGGTGACAACCTATCTGATAGACCCGAGGAAAGAATATGGGTCAATCACGAGGAAAACCAGCACTCTGGTCTACACAGGTCACTGGCAAAAGGTGTGGGAATTGGAAGCCACGGCTGTCTCTGGAAGAGCAAGTGAAGTGAGGAGGGCCTCAAATAAAGAGGATTGGATGAAAGCTGTTTTATGTAGGACTACCAGATCTCCTCCCCAAATTGGTTCATCCCATCCCCAACTTGGCTAAAGACTGAAGAGTTTTTTGGGAGTTTTTTTCCGAAAGAATAAAGAATCTCTGGCCTACAGGATACAAGGCAAGTTCAAAGCTGGGATGAATCACACTGAAAACATAGTGAGAAGTGAACATGGACACACAGGATTTGAGACCTCAGCTCACATGTACCACTTGGTTCCCCAGAATGGTGCCAGGCTCTTTCCGCCCAGTCTGGACAGTAGCAGAGGCTGGGGAATCTGACCAGATAAAAGAGATGTGAAGACGTTAAAAGTTTCTCGGTGAAACAGTGCAGCCAAATCATGTACCAGGTAACCCACAGTCAACAAACTCCACTCCAGTCTGGTTTGGGGGCCCCACTCTTAAATGTGAGCAGACAGCTGAGATTCCAGACATCTGAGGAAAGACTCTGGCATGAAAAGTAGAGATGAAAACAAACACGTGGTGATTGGGGGTGGGGGGGTGGTGCGTGGAGGGACCAGGGAGTCTGCGTGAAGAAGAAAACCTCAAGGGAAGCTACACACCCATGAAACAAGAACAGGATGCTACATTTTACAGAAAGGAACATTCAGAGAACACAAAAGAGCTTTAGAAATTAAAATACAATAGCAGAAGTTTAAAATCCGTACGAAGACTGGAAGGTAAGACTGAAGAAACCTTCTAAAAAGTAGAGCAAAAATAGAATGAGATGGAAAATGAAAGAGAGAAAAATAAAATAGAGCACCAGGCCAGGAAATCTATCAGAGTAATAAAAGTTCCAGAGAAAGCAGAGGAAACAGAGGAGAAGGAGCATCGTGTAAAATAATTTCAGAAAAATTTCCCAGAACGGGTGGAGGAGAGTTTTTAGGTTGAAAGGGCTCTCAGCGAGCACAATGCATGAAAGTCAGCTCACACCAAGACATACCCATGGTGCAACTTCAAACATGGAGCCATCTGAGATGCTGAAAGCTTTCAGAGAGAAAAACCAGGTCACACAAAAATTACTGGGACTCAGAATAGCTCAACAGTAACACTGGAAACCTGGAAGACAATGGAGTCATGCCTTCAAATTTTTAAGGAAAATCACTTCCGACCTAGAATTCTATATCCAGCAAAACTACCTTTAATGAACTGTAGGGTAGAGCAATGATATTTTTAGACAGGCACGATTTCAAAAGTTTCTTTCCTTTGTGGTCTCCTTTTCTTGGGCAGCTGCTGGTGTTCTACTGAAACAGCTGGTAGGAGAGGAAGACTTGGTATTTAGGAAAGAGGAGCAAGGTGAGGAGGGCATCTCAGGGTGACTGCAGCGCAGAGAGAGCGACCAGCTCACGTGCCCGGGCCAGGCAGCGCCCAAAAGTGGAACCGGGCAGGGAGCCGACCAGCTGCCTGGACCCTGGGAGGGGAGGCTCAGATAACTGGCAGAGCATGAGGTGGAATCTGTGAGAAGTTTGTAGAAAGTGAGCAAGCATAAAAATGACAATTATTAACTCTAGGAAAAACAAACCCCCAAGAATGTGCTGGAAAAGAAAAGTAAGCGGAGTCAGCTGCATGCCTCTGGCCCGAGGAGTGTTTACAAAGTAAAAGTAATGCAAACACTGAAGGTGGCTTTCCCAGAGATGGGGAGATGGTGCTGTCTGTGAGGATGGGGAGCGGGGAGGGGGACACGCATGCGGTGTCGGGGCTGTGGAAGGGAAGGAAGCTAAATCCCTGGCCTCCAGAGAGATAAGTGAGTAAATAATGCCTAAACCAAAAATAACTTGCTGCTTTTTGATAACCAAGAAATTAGTTGAACACATTGAAATGGCTCCCTTTTGGGGAGTGAGATATGGGATTAGGGCCCTGTGGAATGTTCTTTTAGAGCAAAACCTTGTACTGTGTTGGACTGTTAAATTGGCGTTTGTATATAACTTGAATAAAAGCTTAACAGTTAAAAACGATAAAAAGGTAGGCACTTAAAGTCAGCCTCTAAGGTCCAGTTTGAATGTAAAATTCCTTTGTTGGAAGAATAGTGAAGGGATAGGGGTCCAAGGGGAGGGAGGCTGATGACCTGTTTCTTGATTGCAGTGCTGATTAGTTGAGTGTGTGGCCTTCCCCCGCCCCCCCCCCCCGCCCATCGGTGCAAAAAGGTGGTTTTATTAAAGCACAGGGACAGGACCCATGGGCAGAAAGAGCTTGAGTGTGTTTCTTTGGTGAAAATTCATCAAGCTGCACACATGATTTGTGTACCTTTCCACATGTAATTTTTAGTTAGATAAAATGTTTACTTAAAAAATAATAACAGGCTACATCCCATTTCCCAGCAGCTTCGGGGTACAGATAGTGCATTTCACAGTGCTACCCCAGAGCATAAGAATTCAAGCCCCCAGTGGCCCAGTTGGTAAGAGTCTGTTCTTTTTGGGTTCCCTTCCCTCCAAGATTTTTGAGCATGCCCTAGGACCACCTCCAGCTCTGGGTGGCATTGCTGGTCCCCACCTCCATGCTCTCCCTGGTAAGGTGAGGTCTTGCAATTTTTCACGGGTTCTCCCCATGCTGCTGCTTGCGTGCTCACCTTTATAGTTCCCTGAAGTGTCAACCCCAGTCCAGCAGAGTGGTTGGCAGGATGGGATGCTCACAGAACGGACACCCTCCTTCTTGAGCTATCCCCATCTTCCTCACCAGTGACTCTCTTCACCGTGTTTTTACAATTGATCAGTGGGTAACAGATATTAACAACCTTAAAATTTTGTTGAAAAGTGCCTGTCTGGGGAATATGGCTTAAAGCACTGCCACCAGCTATGTACCCAGCCAAGTCCCACCCTGAAATCCCGAAGTCCAGCAAACACCAGAGGAATGAGAATGCAAGAAATGAAAGCTTCCAATTGGAAACAAAAATCTGTATCTGAAGTCTCTGTTCCGTGCTCACAAGGAGGACCACAAGGCCCCCCCCCGCCGCCAGGTGTCCCTGCCACCCATCTCTTGTAGTAAAACCCAGCCTCCACCTCCTCCTCCTGTTCGTCATCATCATCACTGTAAACTGGGCAGAAATGCAACACTGTCTTTGGTGCAGAACATCTTTTCTTTTATTATGCAGAACACTTTTATTTCCCTTCTCCTGAACTTTCCAGTGTTATATTTTAACTTTCCTCGTGCGTGATCAGAAGATCCGTTCCAGTATTTTAACCAAATCCAAAGAGCAGCATCCCCTTCGCAACTGTCACTTCTACCTTTGGACTCTGGAAATTGCCACCAGTTTCTATCCTCAGAAAACTCTAGGCCCCAGCAGGTGATCTCGCTGTGCACACACAGTGTCCAGGGGACAGTAGGTGGAAAGGTGGGGGAGAATGGAATTGAACGTATGGTGGGATTAAGGCCCCACGGGAGAAACTCTTCTCTGGCCTCCATACCAAGAATGCCTCTCCTTTCCCTGAACAGTGAGGTTGTGTTTGCATTAAGGGCACCATGACTCTTACATCTGGCCCCTTTCCCTCTTCACATCACCAGTTAGGAAGCTCAGAGCCAGGCTGTGGCACCTGGTAAGGAATTGGGACCTTCCATGTTTGCCTGAGCCCTAACTAACCTCACACCTGTGGGTGTGCTTCCTCATTCTTGGATTTCCTTTGTCTCATTTTCCTTACTTTAAATATATTTTACTCTGTTGTGCTCATTTTTGTAAATCTTAAGATACCTTTTCAAGACGTAAATACTATTTTAAATTTTTTAAAAAGTGCAGTAAGATTACAACTACATAATAGAACTGTAGATACCCAGAGCACCTGGGTGGTCTTCAGTAAGTTAAGTGTCTGCCTTCGGTTCAGGTCATAATCCCAGGGTCCTGGGATCGAGTCCCACGTTGGGCTCCCTGCTCGGCGGGGAGTCTGCTTCTCATTCTTCCTCTCCCTCTGCCCCCTCCCCCTGCTCATGTTCTCTCTATCTCAAATAAATAAAATAAAAAATTTTTAAAAAAAGAAAGAACTGTGGATAAGCAGTGGAAAGTAACTTGTGAGAAAAGATTATTGTATTGGGGTGATGGGATTATGAGTAATTTATTTTCCCTTAAAAATATACATTAATATTGTAAAGTATGATAAATAATATTTTTAGTAATTTTTACTGATTATAAAAATATGTTCATTTTAGAAAATGTAGAAAAGAAAAATACAAAGATGAAAATATTATTCATCATCTACGTCTCTAGTAGATATCAATGTTATCTTTTTGGTATATTTCTGTGCTTTTTTTTAGATGCATATGCATGTGTATGTGTTGACTGTGTATTTTCCAAATTTAAGTAACTTTCTTTATAGTTTTTTGTACACTATTGTTTTCAGGTAGCAGCACATTCTGGACATTTTCCCTTGTTCAGGATTTCTCTGCACCATCATTTTATTTTGTTTTTTTTTTTTAAGATTTTACTTATTTATTTGAGATAGAGAGTGTGTGAAGGGAGGGGGGAAGGACAGAGGGAGAAGCAGACTCCCTGTTGAGCAAGGAGCCTGACACAAGACTCGATCCCAGGACCCTGAGATCATGACCTGAGCCGAAGGCGGATGCTTAACTGACTGAGCCATCCAGGCACCCCTGCACCATCATTTTAAATCACATTAAGTCGTATTGTCCTCATTTAACTATGCACCCTATTTATCTAGCAGATCCCCCCTTGTTGGACACTTAGGTGGTTCACTCTTAGTCATTCCTTTCTGGGTTTATGTAGATGGCCAAACAAGCCATCTTTATCAAAATGTGTTTCTCCTACAGAACTGTTTTTTTTTTTCCCCCTTTCTCGTTGCAGTGGTGTCGGGTTCATCATCCAGCTCCAAGTATGACCCTGAGATCCTGAAAGCTGAAATTGCCACCGCGAAATCCCGGGTAGGGCCCCTTTGCGTGTCCCGTGGAAGGGGGTCACGGCAGCAGCCATGGGCCCCTCCCCGCCCACAGGCCCAGAGCAGGTGCTTCCACCAGGCAGTGGCGGCCACTGCCGACTGCCAGGGTCCCAAATAATAGTGGGGGTGGCAGTTGTCATAGCAATTGTGATGGCAACCGCCGCTGCCATTTCACGGCATCCCCGGCGCAGCGCTCAGTGCTTTCTGTCTCGTGTTCTCGAAGCAAGCCCGTGAAGCAGCTGTTGTCAGTGTCTGGACTTTAAAGACGAGCACACACGAGCTGAGGGGAGCTGAGGAACTTGCCCAGGGTCGCAAGGACTCAGGCTGCCTCCACAGTGCTTCACGTCACGCGCTGTCTTCCTAGCTGTTGCTTGTTCTCCATCGTCTGATTTAACTACGTCACCATAATTACTTCCTGACTTCTTGGGGATAAATAGGATCCCCATTGTCCTGATGTGGAACTAAGGCACAGCAGTTAAGGGACTTGCTCGAGGTAAAGCCAGTATTTTGAACACTGTTTCAGTTACACTTCAAGTAGGTTCTCCAAATTCAGATACCTGCAAGAAAACGTAAAAGGGGGCGGTGGGCTTGGGGTGAAGCAGGAGGGAGTGGTGGGAAGTGAGCAACCTAGAGAGCTGTGCCCCGTCTAAAGGGGTCGTTGAATTTTATCCCTCCCCTCTTGGGGCCATGCTGGAAGGAGGGCTCAGTGTCAGCAGATCTTCTAATTTTAGAAAACAGCTATACTTAGGCTTATTATAGGAGATCTCTCAATATTTCATTATTAGCAATGAACTTTTTTGATTTAATAACTGCAAGCCAAACGAAGCATTCCTGCAGGTCAAATCTGGCTCCGTGAGCCGTGTGTTGCCTCTCGCCTCCATGCGTACCGCACTCCCATACCCATTGCCTGCTTTAAGTAATGCACAGCCCTGCGAATGACCATGTTTCTCTTCTGTCTGAATAGGGAAGGGAGGCTCAGCGAGGCGAGGTGGCTTGAGAGAGGTCACCCAGCTAGGCAGTGGGAAGGCTAAGCTCTATCTCAGGGCAGCTAGCACCTGTCCACTTCCTATTTCCCTCAAGTGAGGGCTGACCCAGGATGACCTGCAGGACAGCCAGGCTGGGATGCTGACGGCACAAGCAGCTGCAGAGACCAAGGCAACATCAGTGAGGGGAAGGTGTTAGGACCATGTGGCCCAAGGGATATCATTATGCAGGGGCTGTGGGGGGCTCTGGGTTCCCCTTAGAGGAGAAGGCAGCCCGCGGTTCCATCAACCACTGATCTAGCCCCATCTGTGGTCTTCTGCCATCCAGGTCAACAAGCTCAAGAGAGAGATGGTTCACCTCCAGCAAGAGCTGCAGTTCAAAGAGCGTGGCTTTCAGACCCTGAAGAAGTAAGTCCACTCTGTCGTGCAGAGCATGGGGATGTCCCATACTCCCCTTCCTGCCCCTATGTCTCTCTCTCCTGTAAGGCCACTCTAATCATTCAATTCCAGTTCTAGTCCACTGGTATTTACTGAAGATACTGTCACCCAAGGTTGAGGTGTAGAAAGAGAAAAGGGGAATCATTTCATTCTTTTTTTCTGAAGATTTTATTTATTTCAGAGAGAGTGCGCAAGCATGAGCAGGGGGAGGGGCAGAGGGAGAAGCAGACTACCTGCTTAGGGAGCATGATGCCGGGGCCTGATCCCAGGACCTGAGCCCAGGACCCGGGGATCATGACCTGATTCGAAGGCAGGCACTTGACCAGCTGAGCCACCCAGGCACCCCAAGGGAAGTCCTTGAGTTCTCATTGTCCTCTGAATTCCTGAAGCCATTAAAGTCTGTCCTGTTCTGTTGAGTTTTACCAGCCAGTCACAGAAACAAGTACTGCTGGGCATTTCTGGGCACCTGTCTCATCTCCTTCAGGAGATCCAGTAGGATATGGTACACACGCAAACAAAACAAACTCTTCTTTCCCCTGGCCCCTAAAGATGAGCAGCTAGTGTGCCCCACTGAAGGAACGAGGCTCTCTTCCACGACACACACATCACTAGACGAGCACGCACGGTGCCATGCTCTATTGTTTCTTTGGAACAGGTGTGTTGATTGCTATTATCATTATACTAGCTAAGATTCGCTGAGCAGTTTCTCTGCCGGGAAGCACTTTCATTGTTTCTGCCTGGGTGACCTCATTTGATCCTCATCACTACTCTATAAGGAACGTTCTCTTAGCTAACTCCGCTTTATAGGTGAGGAAACCAAGTCACATAGTAAGTGCTCAGTAAGCATTAGCTTATCATTATGAATTGTCACACATGTAACAAACACTTATGCATTGAGTCACGTTCAGTGTATTTGATGGACTCAGTGTACAGTCATTGCAGAGGTGTCTGGAGCCCTCTTGGAAGCCCCAGGGAGAGCAGCCAGTCGATTTCTCTATTCTAAGGGACATCTCCCTTAGATTCCCCGGGAGGCCACATCTCTACAGACAGCTGCTTCTCTAAGTCACTTGCCTTTTCTGTCTCTCTCTCTGCCGACACCTTTTCCCCAGCCTGTGAACCTCAGATCCACCCCGACCACTCTCAGGGGTTGATTGGTTCTTATTCACATCTTCCCATCCTCCAAGCCCCCACTGCCTGGGGAGGAGCTACCATGAACCCCCCACCACACAAGGTTTAAGAAAGTATAGATTGTGTATAATGCTTTTTTGTATTATAAATTGTTATAAAATACGGTTTTATGTATGTGTGCTTATATAGATGCATGTGTTATTAATATATGTATATATCCCTATGCCTGTGACAGTCAAGAGCAGGAATATGAGGTTAGAAAAGTCCTATTTGTGATCTATAAAGCAAATAGCCTCACGAGCCCTCCAGATTCTGAACACATAGTTTAAAGGTTACTCACTCCCACGTCATCTTACCGGAGGGGCCCTCCCCTCCTCCCCCTTCCTGCAATCCTCAGGAGCTTCTGGTTAGAACATTTCCCATTATTCTCTGAGCCACCACAAACCTGTTTTACCACTTTGTCACCCTGTAGCAGCATTGAAAATTCTTGTTCTTTGGTGAGCTGACGCTGAAACCCCAAAGACAAGCCTCCTTTTTTTTCCTCCTCCCTCCACCCAACTGATGTTTGATATCAGGCCCAGGTAAGACTCATGGCAGCCCTGACCGCCCACGCTCCCTACCCGAAGCCGGCTCCATGTTCAGTGCAGAGGAAGCCATCTGCTTTCATGAACACCTTGGCATAGAGGGTTAGGAATGTAGCCTCAAGGGGCAGATGGCCTGGGTTCAAATCCCAGTTCCCTGGGACCTTGCAAAAATGACTTAACCCCCATGAGCTTTGGTTTCTTTATCTGAAAAATAAGTGATTGTGAAGATGAAACTGAAGCGTGTGACAGGGCCTGGCTGTGAGTGTAAGTGTTGGCGAGGGATGTGAGGGGGTGACCTCTAGCTAGTTGCTGGCTTAGATTTGGGGAGGAACTCAGATGAACTCTGTTTGCCCCAGGCTAACGGCTATGCTGCATAAGCATTATGCATCAGTCACCTCAATTCACTGTCTCTCCCCCTTTAAGAGAAGTTTTTGTTCTGCCCCACTTTACAGATGAGGGCACTGACGAGGTTGAAAGTAGACCGTAAGTCCCCCCAGCCAGTCAGCGGCAGAGTGGGATTAGAACCCAAGACTTTGGGTTTTGCCGCTCATGTGCTAATACCTTCCTTCCTGGCTTCATCCTTAATAACCTTCTCCTCAGGGCACCTGGGTGGCTCAGATGGTTAAGCGTCTGCCTTCGACTCAGGTCATGATCCCAGGGTCCTGGGATCGAGTCCCGCGTCGGGCTCCCTGCTCCTTGGGAGCCTGCTTCTCCCTCTGCCTCTCTCTCTCTGTCTCCCATGAATAAATAAATTAAAAAAATCTTTAAAAAAAATAAATAAATAACCTTCTCCTCATACCCAGAAAACGAAGCCTCTTTCCATGTCCCCTGGGATCTTTTTCAGAGGCTAGTGGTGGGAGATGATCTCATCACTTCTACCTCTCAGCCTCCTCCCTTAGCAGAGCATGGGAGAAGGTGAAACTCATCCATCTGTCATGACCGTGTTCATGGTCAGCAACCCCAGTTTTAAAAAAAAAAAAAAAGGAAAGGTTGATGAGAATTGAAGGATACCTCTTCGGAGACTGAAAAGAAAAATCGCGATGAAAGCTCGGGACTTGGGTCCGTCAGCTGCCTCAAGCCCTTGTAAATAGGAAAGAATTGAGACTTGGCATGTCATCCCTGTGGGCGGAGGGCCATGCGGCATCCTTCCGCATGTCCCCAAAGCCGCCCTGCCCAGGTGAGAGTTGTCCGGACAAGACCGAGAGGAATTGGCTCCTGTCAGAGCCTTTGCCCTGCTTCTCTGTGGCTGTGCTGTGGCTAGCGGCTGTGTGAATCTCTGGACAGCTGCGTGATTTGGAAATTCTAAAACACAGGCAGCCCACTACACCCTCCTCTCCCTTGCAGCCACACAACTTTTCTTTCCCTTAAAAAAAAAAAGATTCATTCAGTGAGCACATAATGGTGACCCTTTGTTCCCCCCCCCCCCCCAATCCCAAGAGTGTTCCCTCTTGGAGCTCCTCTCTGGAGCCAAATTCCAGAGCCTGGGTTGCTAAGGCCCCTGAGGGAAATCAGGTAGAGGCTGTCTGAGGAGCCCAGGGCCCAGCAGACAGACCGCGTCTGTCTCATCCTGCTGAGGATTCAAAGCCATCCTGTTGGCAGAGGATAGCAGGGCACAGCCCCCTCCCCAGAGCCCCCAGCCCTGCTCAAGCAAATGGCATCTCTCCTGCACCCCTCCCCCCCACCTTGGGGCAGGGCCACCCCCAGTGCTGGGGGGCCCGCCTCTCCACAGAGCATCTCAGGCGGGCCTCTGCTACCAGAAAGCTCCCTTTAGACTAATTTTTCAAACTAAATCTGAGACCAGTCTTAGCCAACCTGGCAGGCTTGCTCGGGCCCAAGTCCTCGAAAGGAACAGACAGGCTATTTTTAGTGGGGAGACATAAATGGGGCTTTGTTTTCTCTCCACGGAGGCTGAAATAACGGACAGGCAGGGGGAGGGCCATGCTGAGACCCGGGTTCCCTCCCGCTCTCCTGCTCGGAGGCACAGACAGACCGGGATGAAAACCTGCTCCCACCATCCGTGATTCCCCACTCAGGTTATTTTTAGCCCAGGACAGTTTGGCCTCTAGCAGGAAACCAGAGAGGAATGCCTGTGAGTGGTTTCTCATCCTGAATAATGGGTTTGTGGTGTTCCCTCAGACTGCAAGACTTCCTTCTCTCCACTGGGGACTGAGACCTCAGGCCTAGCCTTTGGGGAAAGTGTGAAGCAGTTAAAATTTCTCTCTTTCCTCCGAAGCTTCTCCACACCACAGCCTCCTTCGCCAGAGGGCCCGGACCTCCACCACCTCTGATTTGGTCTGATCTTCAGAAAGTGACATCAAGACCCTTGATTTTTTTTTTTTAACTCTTTTCCGCCACCAAAATGAACCTGTATGGGGAGCCTAGATAAGCTTGATTTGGTCCCATACATCCTAGTCCACCACCTGACTATCCATCCTTTATCCCATTTGACATTCCTTTTTTTTTTTTTTTTTAATTTGTTTATTTGACAGAGAGAGACACAGCGAGAGAGGGAACACAAGCAGGGGGAGTGGGAGAGGGAGAAGCAGGCTTCCCCCCCCCGCCGAGCAGGGAGCCCGATGTGGGGCTCAATCCCAGGACCCTGGGACCGTGACCTGAGCCAAAGGCAGAGGCTTAACGACTGAGCCACCCAGGCGCCACCCCCATTTGACATTCCTAACAGCTTCGTGAACATGGGCTGGGCAGGTGACATTATCCAGGTGTTTTTAGAGGAGCAAGCCAAGCCTCTGAGCATTGAGGGCCGTGCCCAAGGTCATGGCTACTGAGTAGCAGGGCTGGGAGATTTTCATCGTTCGCAACTTTCTTTCATTATGCCTGTTGACTCGGCAAATGCTTATTAAAGTCCGTGGGTTTCAGCTGGGGATGGTCTTGCTCCTCTCCCCCAAGGGGCATTAGGCAAAGTATGGAGGCATTTTTGGTTGTCACAGCTTGGGGTCAGGATGCTGCTAGCATCTAGTGGGCAGAGCCCAGGGATGCTTCTGAACATCCGGCAATGCACAGGACAGCCCCCCCACCACGAAGAATCATCCTCCTCAAATGTCAAGATATTGAGGTTGAGAGACCCCAAGTTAAAGAAATGTTCTGTGCCAGATACTAAGTGGATTCAGTCCCACCCCTGTCCCAAGCCTGCCAGAGACCAGTCAAGGACGCTGCCGTATATAGTACTAAGTAGAACACAGCGTAATGGTTGCAGGTCACAGCCACGCCCAGTGTTATGGGAACACCTAGCCCGGCCGGGAGGACACAGGGAGGTAATCAGGGAAAGCTTCCTGTAAGAGCTGATGCTTAGAGGACCCTTGACTTCAAGGCTGCTGTCGCTTCTGCAGCCCCACACCGTGAGACATTTCACTGGAACCTGCTGTGCCTTATCCCACAGGCCCGACCTGGGGAGGGAGGCTGTGCAAGACAGAGAGGAACCTTCTTACGGGCCTGATGTGTGTCGTCTACTTTTCCCCAGGGGAGACTCCACCCGTCACCCTATCTTTGTCTGACCTTCCCCATTGACTGTTTCCTAGAATCGATAAGAAAATGTCTGATGCTCAGGGCAGCTACAAACTGGATGAAGCTCAGGCTGTCTTGAGAGAAACGAAAGCCATCAAAAAGGCCATCACTTGTGGAGAAAAAGAAAAGCAAGATCTCATTAAGGTACGAGAGTTCCAGTGACGGGAATCCCACGTCGATTTCTCCCGAGCACCTTTCTGTGCCCGGACTCAGGCTGTTTCTGCACGCTACGCAATCACTGAGTTCCCATCGCTGGTTATCTTGGGCTTTCAGTCTCATTTTATAGAGTAGGGAGAGGAGGTTCAGGAGCATTAGGTGACTTGCCTGAGGTCACGTCGCTGGCAGAGTTGTTCCACGAGCCCTCTGCTCCAGTCCAAAGGTCATGTCCTTGCCACTCTTTCCAGCCACCTGGCTTCCTTCTCAAAGAACTGGATAGGGAGGTGGTTCCGACACCAATAGCCCCGACATCAGAACGGAACATCTTCATAAGTGTTTCATCCCATGTTCTCTGTCTGTGCTGAGGACCGAGCAGATGAGAGTCGACGTGACTTCACTTTGCACGCATCGTGCCTCACTTATCTCTTACACCAGGCCTAGTTCATCCCCTTCTTGCAGATAACGACGGTACAGCTCAGAATCAGTGGTGGGGCCAGGATTCAAACCCATGAACACAGACTCAGAAGCCTAGTCTTTTAATCCCTGGACACTCCACCTCGCCTCACAGGAACTACCCTGACCTCAGAGATACTGGATTTGTTTGTGTTCCCATTGGCAGATGAGGAGTCAGGCTCAGAGGGGCTGTAACTGACTTAGTGAAGGGAGCTTTACGCTCTATGACAAAGAGAATGATCTTGAAGCTCCTGCCCAGGGCAGCAGCCCAGTGAAAACATTCAGGCTCTGGTGGACAGGGAGCCGTGTTCCTATTGCGATTAGCATTTAAGAGCACTGCGTCTTAAGTCAGACAGACCAGGACCAAATCCTGCTCTGTCATTTGCCAGCTTTTCCATGCAACAACTCCCTTATGAATAAAATAGGGACAATCCTAGGATTATCAGTCCCAGGTCTGATGTCAGGATTAAGTAAGCTGATGGTAAAGCTGACAGGTACTGAGTATTGGCTGTACTAGCACCTTGCCCTGGTCATCTCATTAAATCAGTATAATAGTCCTATGAGATAGGACCTATGGTTATTCCTATTTTTCAGGAGAGGAAACTGAGGCACAGAGCACTTAATCAACTAGCTCAGGTCATACAGCTAGGAAGTAGCAGTGCCAGGATTCCAAGTCAGGCAGTGTGGCTCCAGAGCTGGGGCCCATAGCAGTCTCCCCCAAGTAAAAGACCCAGCCCGGTGCCCAGCACCGAGCAGTTACCCACTTGCTAGCTCTTTACTTACCTTACCGGAGTGAGCGTGGCTTCCTACTGAATGAGGCAAGGTGGAGAGGGAAGCACGCAGAGGGCGACAGACCAGAGCTCCCTCCCGGGCAGTTATGTTGCTAACCCTACCACCCTCTCCTCTTTAGAGCCTCGCCATGCTGAAGGATGGCTTCCGCACGGAAAGAGGGTCCCACTCTGACCTGTGGTCCAGCGGCAGCTCTCTGGAGAGTTCAGGTTTCCCACTGCCGAAACAGTACCTGGACGTGAGCTCCCAGACGGACATCTCGGGAAGTGTGAGTAGGCTGTGCATCCGGGAGGCGGCTCTAGAGGGCAGTCACCTTCTCGTTTCTCACCTGTGGAGTTGACCGGTGTCTCTCTGTGGGCCCGGCTGCTAACTCAGCCTCCTGGAGCTCCGTTCTATTGCAGACCTCTTGGCCCCAGGATGACGTGAGGTGATGGTGTGGAGGAAAAGCCAGCGCTGACTCCAAGGTCCTCAGTGTTGCCTGGCCATGTGCTTGCATCTCTAGATGCTGCACAGAAAGCAGGTCTGAAGGACCAGGGTCGCTCTTGGGTTCCCTTCTTACAGATTTGTAACGCCATTCTGCTTTTCTTTCACCAGCTATAAATCAGGTGATATTTTCCCCTCTGTTCCTCCCAAAACGTTACATGCGGCTTTCAGACAGCTCTCTTCAAAAGCTCAGGCTGGTCACTGTAATGAATAGTGTGAGTGCCATCTGGATTTACTCCGTGGAAGTTTTAGAGCAGGACTGACCCATGGCCGTCTGGCTCACTGGGAGAACTTTTGTTTTCCTAGAGCAGGTGACATTGAGCAGACCCACCTCCCAGCCTCCATGGCTAAATGCTATTCCTCTCTGTTTCCTATAGCTGTGTACCCACTTGTGAAGAGACGTTCTATCCATGTCTGCTTGGGTGAGCCCTGGAGCTTCTTGCCACTCTTCACAGAATGATGTGGCCAAATAGGCTGTCCCCTCCTTCTCCATGCCACCCAAGTGTCCAGCTATAAGCCACCGTAGGCCTCCCTGCCGGTTCTAGGACCCTCTTCTCAATCACTCAGTGTTTCAGTCCCAGCTGCAGTCTCCCTGAGTTTTCAGCGGAGCCCCTCCCCAGCTCTCCCAGGATGCCTTTCTTGTATATTGGCTGCCCCTGTTTCCTCCTGACCAGCTGTCCTCCATGCTGCTGGGGCTTGAATGGGCTCCAAGCCCTTCGGGGCTGCACGATGATATTCTGGGCGCTCCACTTCTCTTCTGGAAGTGATGGATGTCTGAGTTGGGGGTCTTCCCACAGCCTGCAGGAAGGAAAGTGTCTTTGCCTGACTAGCTTCCCTCCGATCACACAGCCAACTCAGTAATTGGGGGCTATTCTTAGCTACTTCCCACGCAAGCTGTCAAGTCTCTCATGAGCTCTTGAAATCCAACTCCGCACCGGCCACAATGGCCCTATAATTCCCGACTTTGTTCTTTCCCCCAGTTTGGCACGAGCAGCAACAATCAGTTGGCAGAGAAGGTCAGATTGCGCCTTCAATATGAAGAGGCTAAGAGAAGGTAATTAGGGGCTGGGTAATTGGGGGCGGGATGGTTCCAGTTATGGCAACTACCGTTGCACAGTGTCTGCTCCTTGCCTGACTTCTGAAGATAAGGATTATGGTATTTATATTTTAACTCTTGAAGCTCAGAGAGGAAATGACTGAGCCAGGGACGCTTAACTAGGTAAAAAGTGGCACTGTGCTTTGAACCCAGATCTCTGAAACCTCAGAGCCTCGTTCTCTTTCCACTTACTCGGCTTGGTTTCTATAATCAGGGTTTTCCAATGATCCTGTAAGTAGCCTGGTTTGAAGGAGCACAACTGAGGTTTTTAGCAATAAGGTGAAACAGACCCTGGATACTGAACACTTCAGTGTCTCCTGCCCAATGGGGAGCCAGCTGTGCTTACAAACCGTGTAGACCCCGGTGACTTTAGACGTTCTGTGGCTTCACAGGCTCCTAAGCAGTTGGGTTCCACCGCCACAAATAAAATTAAAACAATAAGCAAAGCTGTTATTTTTAGAGCATCTGTTATGCACCAGGTACTGTATTAAAGCATTTGTATGTGTATCGTCTCATTGAATTTTAAAAACAACCTTATAGCGTAGTTTGTGTTATCTCCATGTTAGAGAAGAGAAAGGAAAGGTAAGATCTAAGATGTTTTATGACTTTTCAAGATGATGGAGTAGGATTTTGAACTCTGAGCAGTCTAGCTCCAAGTCTGTGATCTCCTTATGCACGGAGCCAGCCTTCCTGGGAAAGACTCCACAGAGTGCGCTGGTGAATGAAGCCAGGCATATCGCATCCACATGCTGCCTGGCCCATGGACATTCTAAGCCAGGCCACATAGAGTGTGGCAGTGCCTGGCTCTGCCCCTCTGCCAACTCTGTGTGAGCCGCAGAACCCTTTGCAGCAGTGGCGGAAATCCTACAGAAACTAGAAGCAGCAGCAAAGGAAATTTGTTGGCTTATTGAATTCCAAAGTCCTAGGATATACCAGCTTCAGGCACAGCTGGATCCAGGGATTCAAATCATGTTACATAGACTCAGTTTCTCTCTTCTCTACCCTACTTGCCTTTGTGTTGACAGACTTTCCTATCAAAATGTAAAGGTGTCCCCCCCAGCAATTCTAGAGTTATATACCATCCGGTTAGCAACCCCAGCAGAAGGAGGACCTGCCTTTCCCAACAGATTTAACGGATTTTGAGTTTGAGGCTCCCTGGCTTTTCCTGGTGAACCAATCATTGTTGCAGAGTTGGAGGAATTAGAATTCTCTGAAGCTCCAGGCATGGGTCATGTGGCTAACTCTGGGAAGGGGATTGAGATTAGCTCTGTTGGACCCAAGTGACTTAAGTATGGTAGGAGTGATTTCCCAAAGAAAATGTGGAGTATTACTAACAGGAGGAGGAGAAATTGGATCCTGGATCAGGTAGAGAAAACACTCTGTGCATTATTTCAGCTCCCCCTAGAGGCCCAGCAAAACAGCAGGTCTTCTGCATTTGGACAGCCACTTGTCCCCTCTGAAGGGGACCACTCTAAACCCTGGATCCATTCCAGCCTGCAGTAATGCCTGTCTTAGAGGATCAGTTCTGGAGAGACCCAAGGACTGAAATCTTCCCTCTGGGCTTGAGCCATTAAACTTCTCATCGTAGAGCTTCTTGGCTCATCTACCATTACCCAGCTTCATGCCTCCCTTTTCACCCAGAGGTAGTTTAAGTGTCAAGGAGAGAGTGGCCCGCTGAATGGAAGGCAGAGGCTGCAGGGCTTGAAGAAGGGAGGTCAGGCGGCTGTAACAATGAAAAGTCTGCACGCTAAGTTTTGTCATGTGTGCATTTCTGCGTAGTGAGTCCAGTGCTTTACATCAGATCCGCCAAAAGGTGGGTGGCCTGAAGGTTAAGGAGCACTGGGAAAGCTCCACTAGAAAGTGCATCTAAGCCTTAAGCATCGATCACCCCTTTAGTGTACTGCACCTAGTGGAGCCCCTGCCAGACCTGTCCAGATCACTCCATCCTCAGAGTGGCGGAAGCTACAAAGTTGTCCCAGATTACTCTCTTTGTGAATGTGGCATATAAATTAATCAACTCCGAGAATCCCTCTGATGCAGGTGGCTGGGGACTGAGCAAATCTAGATGTGTTTGTCTGCATGGAATTTTCACGACACGCTGTGGAGATTTTGTCCCCAGCGGTGTTTCTATGAATGAAGGGTTGGGCCACATGTCTGCAGATAAGATCGGACTGGGAGTCCAGAGGCCTGGGCACTCCACAAGTGCTGGCCGTGTTTATGACAAGCAGGCTTAGGTGATCCATCTCCTCTGTGGACATCTGTCCAGCAACCTCAGTGCCAGGTCTTAAACTACACTGTAGGGATTGGGTGGGGCAAGGATGTGATGCTGGAAGTCTTTGCGAAAGCTAAATCCTAAAGGATCACATCACGATTGCTTTGAGATATTTGTAGCAGTCATCTTAGTTATATTGTGGATCCTATTTTGGTCCAAAGATAATTATACTTTATATCTGTGCAGCAGGCACTTGGCAACCTATAAAGAGCTCTTGATGGTAAGTTTTCATTCGGGTCTCATAACCCACCTTGCAGGTTCCATTATTGACCCCACCTTACAGGTGAGGAGACTGTGTCTCAAAGAGGTTAAAGGATGGAGCTCCCAACTCCTTCCTTTTAATATTTAATAAGTGCCTGCCGTGTACCAGGCCCTGTGCTGGAAGCTCACGATCCCAAAATGGTCTAAGAATGGTGCCTTCTGTCGAGAAGGCCAGAGCCAAGACTCTCCAGCTCAAGGCCTCTGACCCCAGTCTCTAGACTGGGAATACGCAGTTAGCAACTGCAGTGTTTGCTGTCATTGTAGCGGGCCCCCGATGGCCATTGGTTGAGCACCTGTTATGTGCCAGTTCCTCTGAATACGTTATTGCTCATTTTCAGAACAAGGCTCAGGGAGTTCACCCAACGTTCTATACCTAATAAGTGGTTGAACCAGGTAATAAAACGGTAGCCGCAGAAGCATTCGTTTGAGTGCCTGCTACGTGACAAAGACCGTGCTTTGAGAGTTCATGGAATATGTCTAAAGCCTTCCACCACAACCCCATGACAAAGGAGCTTTCGTTATTCCCTTCAGAGACATGAAGCGACTTGCCCAAGGTCCCATAGCTGGCGGTAGGAGGTTATTGCCTGGTGATGAACCCAGCTCTCTGTTCTGCCAGCCTTCATGTCCCTCAGGGCAAGGACATTGCCTTGTTTATGTCTCTTCCCCACCCCTGCAGAGCCTACTCGTTGTTGGCACAGGGTAGGCACCCCTGTGTTGTTTAGATAAAAATAGGTTCCTTGAGACAACATGCTGGTCCAGTGAAGACAGTCACCACCAGAGATGGCTCTGAGGCTGTCATGGCTCCTCGTACATAACCTTGGAAACACAGTCTGTGACCCTGCTCCCGCTGTGCCCCTGGGCACACCGGTCACGCTCGCCTCTCTGCCCACAGGATCGCCAACCTGAAGATCCAGCTGGCCAAGCTTGACAGCGAGGCCTGGCCTGGAGTGCTGGACTCGGAAAGGGACCGGCTGATCCTCATCAACGAGAAGGAGGAGCTGCTGAAGGAGATGCGCTTCATCAGCCCCCGAAAGTGGACCCAGGGGGAGGTGGAACAGCTGGAGATGGCCCGGAAGCGGCTGGAGAAGGATCTGCAGGCAGCTCGGGACACGCAAAGCAAGGCCCTGACGGAGAGGTGGGGCTGGGCTGGGGCCAGGAGGGCGCGTGGGGCCCTACCCTCTCTGCCAGTCTGTGCTGCAGCCCAGGCAGGGGAAGGGGCAAGGGGGACCACCTGGGGCACCTGGGATCCGCCCTAAGAACACTCAGCTTAGAGATCCCACAACTCTCCCAAGTCACAAATTGGGGGAAATGATTCACCATCCAGAATACCAGCTCCCTGGGAGTTTGCACAGGGAATCCCAGTACCAAAACGTCTGCTCGGGTGCAGGTTTTCAGAAATTATCTTCTGACTAAAGTAAGCCACATAACCCTACGTAATGTAGACCAGTCATTTGCCAACTTTGTGGCAGTGACTCCCATGATACAGAAGTTTCACGAAACAGTGCATACTCTTTCTATGTGTGTAGCCCTCTGATATTGTCTCTCTTACATTGCATTTCTTCTCACAATGGTCATGACCCACTAAACTGATGTCACCTCAGGCTGAGGGGTTGCAGTTTGCACTTTGCAAAACACTGGTTTAGATGGGGGGTGCAGGTAAACTTGCCTACACCCCAGCAGAAGCAGGCCAGACATCCTAGGTGCCTGGGTGTACACTCTCTGTGTCACCTCGTGATGGGTCCTAAGATACCTTCAGGGAGCCTTCTGAGCTCCACAGCACCCAACTCCCAATCGTACCCTAGCACCCGAATAAGCCCCACTTGCACATGGTGGGGTGCCAGACAGATCAAGGTGAGCAGGCTCTGCCTGGCCCGTTGTAAGCAAGCACATCAGAGTCCAGTGCTCATGGCTGCTAGCATCCTGTGGAAGAGAGGAGAAAGCCAACCCAGTGGTCTTTTGTCTATGTCTACAGCTGTTTGCTTCTGGTCCCATGTTTGTCTGTCTGTGTCATCCCCGGGACTCTGTTGTTCTCTCTCTAGGTCTCTCTCTCCCATTTCTTCTGTTCCTCTCTCCAATCTCTCCCCCTCTCTCTCTTTCTCTCTCTCAGACTGGGGGTATCATGCTCCTCATCCTCACACATCAGCCTCTCCACTCCAGGGGCCTTTGAGAAGGACAGGAATGGACACATCCAGAAAGGGCACCACAGGCCTGCCACTCCTCAGTCACAGATCAATCACAATCAGACATCCCAACACCCCAGGTCCTACCCCCTGCTTCCACCCTCCTTCTCTGTGGGCCCCCACCACCACTTCTGAGAGCTGCTCAGCACTCACACGGGGGGCTGGTTGGAGCATGGACTCCCTGGCCTCTCCCCAGGGACCAGTTCCACAGGCCTGAGATGCAGCCCAAGCTCTTGCATTTTGAGCCAGCACCCCAGGTACTGAGCTACAGCTTGTGGGGATTCCTTCTGGAGCCTCTCCCTGCTTCTATGCTTGATGCGTTTGTGGCTTCCCAGCATGTGCCAGGCATCACACACAAATGCCAGATGGCCTGGCAAGCTGGCGCCCCTGGGAGGAGGCCTTGGCACCTGCGTGTTGCTGCAGGGGGCTACACCCCCACGCTCAGGAAGGTGAGGCCACCCGATTCCCAGTCCCCTTGACATCCTGGCGGGGCTCTGGTAGGGCCTGCGTTTTCTCCCAGAACACATGTCTGTGACTTTTCTCCCAGAGAAGGGGGGGGGGGGAATGAAGGTAGAAATGGTGAGCCCCAGCTGCTTCTTGGCCCCACAACCCCACAGCCTTCTAGGCCTCTGCTCTTAAGGACAGTCAGGAGATTCCACAGTCCTCTCCATTCTGTTGAGTCAAGGATTTTGTGCACCACGGGCTCCATCTGCCGACCTGCTGCCTGCCCCGCCAGCCCCAGGCAGGGACTCTGAAAGAAGAGTGCCAAGGATTGAACTGGCCAAGACCCTCGCCACCTTGCTGAGTCGTGTAGAGCAAGTTCTGGTCTTCATTGCAGAGCCTGTGTTGAAGGTCTGGGTGTGTTGGTGGAGGTTTGGCATGGTTAGGTTTTTCCATGAGAATGAACTCTTTCTCCCAGTCCCTCGGCTGGATTGGGTCAGTCAGTCCCTCTCTAGCAAGATGGCATAAGGGGATATGAGCCCCACAATGGAACACATTTGTCTGCAGGAGATAGAACAGGTAGTTCTTTCAGCCGAGTGAACGAATTTTACCTCCCTCCACTGGGAAAAAGTGGTTCAGGCAGCAAACACTGAGCACAGCCATGTGGTGGGCACTGTGCCGAGTGCTGCAGAGCAGGACATGCCACTGCAGCAGCTTGTAACCTTCGTGTGTCCGAAATCACCTGTGAGCCCTCCAATGCAGATGCGTGGGCCCTGCCCCAGACTTTCTGATTCAGTTGATCAAAGGAGGACCCAAGAAGGAGCATTAAATAAGCACGCCTCCCTTTCCATTGCAGGAGGCCTGCAGACCACACCCTGAGAACCTGAAGTGTAGTGGCTCCATGAGGGCAGCCCACATCCTGAGTTTGTGAGAGCACAGCCTTGCCTGATGGAGCCCCTTCCCTGTCAGATCCTGGGACCTTCGAGGGGGCTCGCTCCAGCAGTTAGAGGGGGCCATTCCAGGGGCCACCACACTCCCTAGAGCCCACCCCAAGCTGCCCTCCGTGCAGGATTTCAGGAGAGGTGGGGGAGGGAGGTGGGGGGCGGGGGACTGAGGGGTAGGTCTGGATCCAGCAGATTCTTCTAAAAGCAAGGATTTTGCTTCCAGGGAGGTCATTACTGACATGGGCTTTAGTATCAGCTATCAGCCATGCCTCCGTGCAGATCTTTGCTCCCACGTTCCAGGACACTCCACCACACTCACCTGCCTCTTCTCTGGGCTCTCTGGCCCCACTCTCTTGGGCTCCTTTGCCTACCATTGCCAGTCCATTCAACCACGGAGTGCTGTATGTACTCAGAGCTTAGTGCTGGGCCCTCCCTTTTTTCCCCATTATATTTTACCCTACGGTGGTACATTCATTTGTTAGGGCTGCCAAACCAAAGTACCACGACATAGATGACTTCAGTAGCAGAAATGTATTCTCTCACAGTTCTGGAGCCTGAAGTCCAAGACCAAAGTGTTGCTAGAATTGTTTCTTTGGAAGTTTCTCTCCTTAGCTTAACGATGGCCATCCACACATGAACGTCTGCTATGTCTTCACTTGGTCTGCTCTGTGTGCAGGGTGTGTGTCCTAATCTCCTCTTATAAGAACACGGGTCATGTTGGATTAGGGCCCATCCATATGACCTCATTTTAACCTTAATTCCTTAAAGGCCTTTTCTCCAAAATACAGTCCCCTTTTGAGGTACTGGGTTATTAAGACTTCAGCATATGAATTCTGGGGTAGGGGACACAGGCTCATCCATAGCAGATGGTCCTCTCTTTCATGTGGTGATCCATGTGATGGGGGTTCCCCACCTTGGCAACAGCCCACCTGTTCAGCGTTCATGCCCACACATCCATAAGAGAACTCTTCTCTTCCCCTGGGCTGCTCCGCCCCTCCCCTTCCCATCTCTGCAGAAGCCATCTCCGATCTGTTCAGTTGCTAGTGGCAGGTACCTCACAGTCTTCCTCTTAACTCCCTCAGCCTTGCCCCTCATCCAGCCCATGACCTTTCTCTGTCCTCTCTAGTGTCACCCTGGTCCATGCCACCATCGTAGCGACCCCAACCTCTTGTCCCTGCCTCGCGTCCACAACCTACCCCTTTTCCTCACGGCAGCCATTGGTGACCTTAAAGTGAAAGTGGCCCCTGCTGTGATGCCCTGCTTGGAATGTTCTTTTCCCTGCACTTCTCCTGGCCAACTCCTGTCCATCCTTCATATCAGCTTAAATGTCTCTACTAGTCAGGGCAGGCCACCTGCTGCAAGGAACAACCCCCCAAATCTCCATGGGTTAACACAGTAGGAGCTTGTTTCTTGCCTACATAGCGTCCAGTCGAGTATGCCTGGCTGACAGGCAGCCTTCCATGTGTTGGATCATGCAGGGACCCAGGCTCTTCCTGTCCATGGCATCTCCCCTCTTAGAGCTCCCCAGGCGGCTGTGGGGAAGATCCACCGACTTAACCCACTTCAGCCTGATGTGCCTTCTTCGCTCACATCCTATTGGCTGGAACCCTGTCCCATGCCCCACCCGCGCAGCTGCATGGGAATCTGTGAAGGGGCCCGGCTGTGGGCTCAGGGAGCCGAGGAGAGCATAGATCCTCAAAACAGGCCCAGCCACACAGTCACGTGCTCAGAGAGGCCCACCTGCCAGTCTAAATTGGGTCTCTCCTGAGTTCTTTTCTACCATTCTGTACTTTTTCCTCATAAACCCTGACACACAATGTGTTAGATATTAGAGATTCGAGTATTCTCTTAATATTTGTCCTTTCTACCCCCCTCCCCAGCAGAATGTAAGCTCCATAGGAGCAGAAACTAGTTCTGTTTCGCTCACATCTTTATCCCTAGTGCCAACAGCAGGTTCTGGTATGAGGTAGGCACTCAGCGAATATTGGCGGGGTGGCTAGGGGCCAATGGATGGGAAGGAAGACGGGAGGGGGAGGGAGGGATGGTTGGGTAGAATTCTAATTCTGCCACTAATTCTCTAGCTTGAAGTAAATTATTTAATTCTTAAGAGCCTCAATTTCCTCGTATGTAAAGTAGTAGAAACCATTTTAGCTGTGCAGGGTTATTGTGCAGATGAATTAAGGCTGTGTTACACATTTCCTAGCACAGCACCTGGTATGTCGTAGGCGATGAATATAGCCGTTACTCTAAGATCATACGTGGAGGCCCTATCTCCCCAAACATCGTGGTAAAACGCTTCCAGAAAATTCCTGTGTGTGTGACTGTGGGTCTGTGTGTACATCTCCACAAGTACCTGCCTGTGATTCCTCGTTCAGATGGACGGAGGCTAGATCTCCTGGGGCTCCCCACTCATGCCCTCTGTCCCTTCAGGTTAAAATTGAACAGTAAGAGGAACCAACTGGTGAGAGAACTGGAGGAAGCCACCCGACAAGTAGCGGCTCTGCACTCCCAGCTGAAAAGGTGAGTGGTGCGGGCCTCCCGGGCGTCTGCCTTCGGCTCAGGTCATGATCCCAGGGTCCTGGGATTGAGCCCTGCATCGGGCTCCCTGCTCTGCAGGAAGCCTGCTTCTCCCTCTGCCTGCTCTGCCTGCTTGTGCTAGCACTCTCTCTCTCTCTGACAATTAAATAAAATCTTTAAAAAAAAAAAAAAAGTGAGTGGTGGGCAGCGAGTGTGGCCACAGGGCTGGGCTCTGCCCTTCCTGTGTCCTCTACAGCTTCAGTGTGGATATTTGGAAGCACAGCAGGCAGCTGGTTAGGCTGGTGCACTTGGGCTGGGCCTGGTGTGGCCAGGGGCGCGATTCTTCTCTCTGGACTGCGGCGCCCTCAGTCCTTCTGCCGGCACCGAGGAGCATGCCCCCATCAGAGGCTGGTGTGTCCCATTGACTTCTCGAATACCTGCCCGCCTTCTTTCCCAACACAGTGCAGGCCTTGGGCCTGGGCTTGGTGGGCAACAGCGCGTCGCTGGGATTTAGTAACATTTTGTCCCATCGGAGATTTGTAATGCTTGCCTTCTATTTACAGTAAGTGATGCTGCTTTGCCAATCACACGTAGGATATGAAGTTTCCTTTTTAAGATAAATGTATTGAAGAGTGAAGACTGAGTTTTTCTGAGGAAAGTATCAAGAAATAGGGCTGGATTCATACAGGGAAAAAGAGTGTGCAAACAGACTAGGGCCAGTGGAGGTTTGGGAAACAGGAAGAAGTGGGCTTCTGAGGCAGCTGACTTGGGTCTGAATCCCAGGTCTGCCACTTTCTGATTATGTGGGCTTCTCAGGGTATCCTCTTTAGTGAAATGAGGGTACATGGTCTCCCCTGGAGACTGTCAAGAGGGTGCAACAAAATTCAGTGTTGGAAGTGCCCGTAGTGCTCTTCAGAGCCAGGAAGGGGATTCCAGGCGGCCCCCTACCCTCTGCGTGTTCTCACCCTCTGTCCTCTCCCTGCCCCCAGCCTCTCAAGCAGCATGCAGTCCCTGTCCTCCAGCAGCAGCCCTGGATCCCTCACGTCCAGCCGGGGCTCCCTGGCCACCTCCAGCCTGGACTCCTCCACCTCAGCCAGCTTCACTGACCTCTACTATGACCCCTTCGAGCAGCTGGACGCGGAGCTGCAGAGCAAGGTGGAGTTTTTGCTCCTGGAGGGGGCCATGGGCTTCCGGCCCTCAGGCTGCATCACCACCATCCATGAGGATGAGGTGGCCAAGACCCAGAAGGTAGAGGGGGGCAGCCGCCTGCAGGCCCTGCGCTCCCTGTGTGGCACCCCGAAGTCCATGACCTCCCTGTCCCCCCGCTCTTCCCTCTCCTCTCCATCCCCGCCCTGCTCCCCCCTCATTGCTGACCCCCTCCTGGCTGGAGATGCTTTCCTGAGCCCTCTGGAGTTTGAAGACCCGGAGCTGAGTGCCACTCTCTGTGAACTGAGCCTCGGCGGCAGCACCCAGGACAAATACCAGCTGGACGAACCAGGAACGGAAAGCAGACAGTTGGGCCAAGGTAGCGAGCATCACATCCAGAAGGGGGGACCACGAGGAGGGAGGCGGGTAGGAAGTGCACTCGGGCCTGAGCACAGACCCCAGTGGTAATTGTGGTCATCTACTGACTGCTTTCTGTGTGCCCAAGTGAGTGGGCGCTTCAATAGTGAGAAGGAGCCAGCTTGGGAAAAGTAAGAGCAAAACCTCTGAGGCCACCAGCAAACCAGAGAAGCAGGCAGAGTCCAGGTCATTTAAGGCCTCGTGGGCCATGCATGGTAGGGAGTTTGGATTTTATCCTAATAGCAGCAGGGACCCATATGACCGTTTGAAGCCAGGGAGATATGCTCTGGCTCCCATTCTGCATGGGGTCAGAAAGAACGTTTTGGTATGGATTGAGATTCAAGTAGGAATCTTCAAAACAGAAGATGCTGATAGTATAGCTAAGATTTATCAGGAGAGAAATTATTCATTTTTAGCAGCAACCACATATTAAATTGTAATAGTTAATATTTATTGGAGTATATTATATGATGGGCAATGTGCCTTATATAGTGAAATAGGTTACTTCTATTATGCCCATTTCACAGGTGAGGAAACAGGTCCAGAAAGGTAGTATTACTTGCTCTAGGTCCCCCAGCCAGCAGGTGGGAAAACCTGGGTTTTCCTGACCCAGCACCCAACCTCTTTATCATCGCACTCCTCTCCGGATGAGAGGCAGCTCTGTGTGTTTGCTCCTGAGACACTCCGGTGCTCACTGGCCCCACCATGCCCATCTGGTGTGAAGGTCAAAACTGAGCAGGGTGCCCAGACAGCTCACCTGGGGCTCCCAGGCTTTCCGGGCCATGATTTATTGAATGCAGGTATACAAGGTACGGTTACTGTTCTGTATTTATTCATTTAAGCCTCATAACAACTCTGTGAGATGGGTGCTATTTTTATCCTCATTTACAGACAAAAGAAGTGAGGCCCGGGAAGGTCAGTGTCACGGCTAGGAAGTGGCAGAATCAGGACTGGCACCAGGACCACCTGCCCAGATCCCGCACTAAGACGTGTGCTGGCTTTGAATGCACAGGGCTCCTGTTTCTGGCTCCTTTTGAGGCCAGGTGGGAGAAGTGGACCCATCTCAGCCTTAAGGCTCCAGGAATGGGCGGGATGGTTGCTGCTATGCCCAGAATTACCCATTCGTGTGCAAGGGCCAGTGGGAGCAAGGTGGGGCAAGACGAGATTTCCTGGTTAATCAAAGGCTCTGCTGGGTGAGTGCCAGCCATTTCCTTAGAAGAGGAGCCGAGAGATCCCTGGGGCTCCCTCATCAGGAAGGGAGTCTTGCTGAGTGCTCTGAAACAAAAATAAAAACAGGCTTCCTACTACAGCAGGTGGCCAACTTCAGAAAATTGTCCCCTGGAGAGGAGCAAGTACAGGTGGAACCTCTAACCAGGCTCCAGAAGAGCCCCTGACAGTCTGTCAGAGGATGGCGATGAGCCAAGTCGGGGACCCAGCAAGGTGCCGGGAGTGACCCCCTCCTCCCTGAGTGTCCTTGGGGCTTGTGGGCCAAGGACCGCACATGTCTCAGGATGGCGTCTTCCTTCACGCCATCTCCAAAAGCCATCCCTGCGGTGAGCGATGCCAGGCTGAGCTTTGACACTAAGCAGGTTATGCGATTAGTGCTGCTGTTCAGTCAGCAGACAAATTAATCTCCTTAAGTGGTTTAGTGGAGGGTGGAGATATGTGGGTCTGAAGGCCGGGGGCGGGGGGGGGGGTTCTCCACTAGCCGCAGCAGGCATGGGACACAGGCTGGGACAGCCGCACCCAGATGGCCTCTCAGCTTCCCCCAGGCTCGCTGTCCCCATCCCTTCCCTCAGCCTGGCCTGCCCCCCCCCCCGCCCCCGTCTCTTCTCCAGGCTGCCCTGATGCCTGGCACCCAGCGGGCGCTCAGAAGTGCTGGCTGTGGGGTTGCAGGGCCTGAACCTTGTCTTCCCCCACCGCACGGAGCTCAGGAACTGTCCTGTCCATCTTGCTAGCTCGGAGCCTGGCAGTGGGCCTGGCTCACCATTGGCACTTGCGACTTAGGGGAGGAAGGAATGTGCCGCATGGGCCAAGTGCCTGGTTGGAGCCTTGGGTCAGAGACTTTTGAGAGCCTCTGTCAAGGGCAGGGGAGCTGAGGAGCAGAGTTAGGAATGGAATGGAATAGGCCCGAGTGGGGGAGAGCCAGTGGTGAAATCCTCCCTTTTCTTCCTCTTGCCCCTCCCAAGGGTCCAGGGGCTGTTATTTTGCCCCAGGTACGTAGGGATCGATCTAGAAGGCATCACCGCAGCGATAGGAATGACCATTGCAGTAAGGATAATGGTACTGAATTTCATCGAGTGTTTTCCTGCATCAGCCTCTGTACTGAGGACTTCACTAGAATGCCTTGTTGGGTCCTCCCGGCAGCCACATAGGGTAGGTGTTACCTTCCCCATTTTACAGAGAAGGAATCCAAGGGCCAGAGAGCTGAAATCCATGTCCCAGTGTCATGAAGCAATAAGTGGTAGAGCTGAGAGGTGAACCCAGGCGCTTTGGTTTCCAAGTCTGGGATGTTAAACACAGAATCCTACACCCCAAAGCAAGGCAGGACCTTGCTGTCAAGTTCAGAGGTGGTATTTGGCGGGACCGCCTTAGGACAGAGAGTAGATCAAAAGTGTGTGTTGCAAAGACAGTGTCCTGGTTTCTGAACCCTGCCTTGCCATCCTTCCTTTTTCCCCCTTTTTCCTCCAGCTATGAATACAGCCCAGGGGTGCAGCCTGAAAGTGGCCTGTGTCTCAGCTGCTGTGTCGGATGAATCCGTGGCCGGGGACAGTGGTGTGTATGAGGCTTCCGTGCAGAGGTGGGTCGCTGAGTCTTGGCTCTTTCTGGGAAGTCTGAGAATGCAGAGCCCGGGCCCCCTCAGGTGTGTGGGAGGGGCCCACAGGAGGGCATAGCCAGGTGACCCCACCTTCCCCCTTGGAGCCCTGTTTAGGGTGTGTTGAAGATGCACCCAGCACTGCTGCTCCTGCAGCTGGGGGCACTTCACATTCGCGGGAGTGCTGGTTTCGTTATTGCCACGAAGGAGCATATGGCTAGGGGGGCAAGTACTGGAGAAAGGGCAGCCCCTTCCAGAGAGGAATCCCGAGCAGTTGTGGGAAGGCAGGGTCTGCAGAGAGTCTGAGCAGACCCAAACTTTCGTCCTTCAGGACGCAGCTGCACCCTGCCAGAGAGAACCCCTTTTCTGGAAAATGGCTTTGGCCCCAGGTTACTGCAGGGAAGCCTGACCCTCTTCTTCCCCGTGTTGCCTTCCAGACTGGGTGCTTCAGAAGCCGCTGCTTTTGACAGTGACGAATCGGAAGCAGTGGGTACAACCCGGGTTCAGATTGCCCTGAAGTAAGTGACTGGGAGGGTGAGCGCAGAGCGGGTGGTCGGCAGCGTCTTCCCAGCCTTGACCTTCATGGCTCCCCCGGGGAAGGAAGGCAGAACCAGCAGGACCTGCCGGGAGTTGTGGGTTCCCAACTGAAGGGGGCCAACCCTCTCCCTCCCTCTCAGCTGCACATTTTACAAAAGAGAAAAATGAGGTCTTGAAGACCTCGTAACTTGCCCCAACTCTCAGAGCTGGCCAATGGCAGAGGCAACCCTGACTGAGACCTCTGCGTCTTGGTCTGTTTGGTCATTGTTGCTGTGGCTGTTTGTCTTACCTTTCCATTGAGGTTTCCACCCTCTGGGGGTTACAGCCCAGATGTGTTATTCTTGTTGTTTTCTCTTGGTGCAGGATGGCCTCGACATTATTTTCAGTAGAAATTAATTGCCAACATTTAAATATCAAGAAATTTCACGTAATGCAATCTTCGGGCTTCTCTTTAAAAAATTGAGACTGGTGGCACCTGGGGGGCTCAGTCACTAGGCGTCTGCCTTCGGCTCAGGTCATGATCCCAGGGTCCTGGGAGTGAGCCCCACATTGGGCTCCCCGCTCGGCGGGAAGCCTGCTTTGCCCTCTCCCACTCCCCCTGCTTGTGTTCTCTCTCTCTCTCTCGCTGTCTCTCTCTGTCAAATAAATAAAATCTTTAAAAAATAAAATAAAATAAAAATAAAAAATTGAGACTGACAGCCCTGCCCCTGCACCCCTGCATGGCACGAAGCCTTGGCCCTGTGCTCTCGAGCTCACCACAGTCCCCTGAGCAGCCAGCAGCCACATCGGTGATCACTGAGAGAGAGAAAAATGTGTCACTCCTAGGTGCTCCATATGCCCCTTTCCATTTCAGGTACGATGAGAAGAATAAGCAGTTTGCAATATTAATCATCCAGCTCAGTAACCTTTCTGCTCTGTTGCTGCAACAAGACCAGAAAGTGTGAGTATATAGCAGACAGGGTGTCTCTCACCCTCTCAGCCTCTGTGGCCACCCCCGGGGGCACTCTCCTGCTTTGTCCTGCCCCAACAGTGGGCCCTGTGTGTATTTAATACATGTGACCGTCATGCCACGTGTCAGTACTGTGAATGTGGATACAGTCTTGATGGCAAACTCACTAACTATAAAGAGAAGCACTCTAGACAGCTTCAGTTCCTTCACAAGTACATTGTGAGCACCTGCCATGTGCCAGCACTAAGAATGGGGTGGTGAGGGGCGCCTGGGCGGCTCAGTCGTTAAGCGTCTGCCTTCAGCCCGGGTCATGGTCCCAGGGTCCTGGGATCAAGCGCTGCATCGGGCTTCCTGCTCCGCGGGAAGCCTGCTTCTCCCTCTCCCACTCCCCCTGCTTGTGTTCTCTCTCTCACTGTGTCTCTGTCAAATAAATAAAATCTTAAAAAAAAAAAAAGAATGGGGTGGTGAGCAAATCCTTGCCTTCGTGAACTTGAAGCCTCATGAACAAGGTGGACACCTATGCTGTTAGCCTGTTGGCTCTTCCCATTGCAGACCAGCTCTATGTTTCATTGCATTTCATCTGCCCACATGTTTCTCCTTTAACTAGATGGTACGCATTGGGGCAGCAACAAGAGCTCCTATTTCTGTGGTCTGTACCCAGCCAGCATCTGGGGCTGCGACGTGTGGGAACGGGAAAGGCCGGAGGAAAGCAGGCCAAACAGAAGGAAGACAAGATGGGACCGTAGAGTCGTTTTCAGTTTTTTGCTCGCACAGACAGTGCCAGAATGAATAACCTTCTCCGCATCTCATTGGTCCTTGTGCAGGGATATCTGTGGGAGAGTATCGAAAAGCCAGCTGAATGGGTCCCGGGGTCAGTGCCTCTCTAATTGTGTCACAGCTGCCACATTCCCCTCTGCAGGGGCTGTAGCATCTTGCCTTCCTCCCAGCAGTCCTGTAAGGGTTCCTGAGTGTTAACAAGCAGGCTTGCTGATTCTTCTGTGCACAGAAGTTTGCACACTGTTGGCCTCAGGCTCCACCGCTTTGAGGTTCTGAGGATTGGGGGATTCAGAAGGAGGAAAAGCAATATGTTGTCCTGGGGGCCCTTTCTGCTTCCTTACCAATACCTGCATAACCCCTTGAGAACTTACAAACTCCTCCACTGTTATTTTCTTAGGGATTTGCAGCAACTGTTTAGCCCAACACATCAGCCCAGACCCAGGCTGAGCTGGGCTCTCCTCTGTCTCCCTCTAGGAACATTCGTGTAGCTATCCTTCCCTGCTCCGAAAGCACCACCTGCCTGTTCCGGACCCGACCCCTGGACGCCTCAGACACCCTCATGTTCAATGAAATGTTCTGGGTGTCCATGTCCTATCCAGCCCTTCACCAGAAGACCTTAAGAGTCGATGTCTGTACCACCGACAGGAGCCATCTGGAGGAGTGCCTGGTGAGCGCTATGCCCGTCGGTCTCTCTGTCCCGCCTTCTGTCCTTCTGGGGATTGGCCCAGCTTGCAGTTTAGGGAGAAGACTTGAGAAAACGCAGGTTGTAGTGCCAACGAAGCTCATACGGGTTCCAGGCAGGGAACTGTTGCCCCGGTGAGCCGCGTTCTCACACTTACTGGGAGCAAGGGGGCGAGGAGGCGGGAAGCTCCTTTCTGAGCCCACTAACTGCAGGGCCGCATCCCCTGGGCCTGAGGCTGTGTTGCCTACAACTCTTTTAATGCTCCGTCTCAGTCTCCTTATCTGTAAAATCCCACTAACACTGCCTACCTCACAGATGGCTCTCTGAGGATTAAATGAGGATTTAAGCAGTGTTTCTGGAACTTGAACATGCAAACAAGTTACCTGGGGCTCTACTTAAAATGCAGATTCTGATTCAGCAAGTCTGCTGGGGGGTGGGGACACCAGGAGATTCTGCATTTTTAGTGAAGTTCCCAAGTGCTGCTGATTGCTGCTGGTCCCCATAGCAAGGATGTGAAACAACGATGTGTCTGCACATGCTAGATGCTCCGTGGCTCTCACTTCCCACCGCCCCCCTCCCCTTCCTCAGCTGCAGTACAGAGCAACATCATTGCCATTTATGTTGTTGATATTATTATTGGCAATAATGCGATAGCATCCATAGATTGAAGGCACTCACTAAGGTGGGCACTGAGCTAAGCTCCCTACATGTCGTTTCTCTACCCTCACTACAGTCTTCTAGAACAGGTACTGTTATGCCAGTGAGAAAACCGAGGAACAGAGAGGTAAAAGAACTTTCCCAGGGTCACACAGTCAAGAAGTGGCAGGAGCAGTTAGAACCTAAGGCAGGTCTACTTGCACCGCCCACCCACGTCAGCCCCTTGGTGTTCTCACCAGCATGGTGCTCCCCGGAGCCCACAGCTAGGACAGTGACTGAAGACTGGTGAGCAGGGGAGACTCTGGATGTTAGAGCAGAAAGCTTTTCCAAACCCAGCCTCTTCTGCTGAAGCATTTCCTCAGCCCTGGGAATTCCTCAATGACAAGAGAATCCTATTTTCTTCTCCTAATTGGATGTCTTTTATTCCTCCTTCTTAACTGAAGTCTGGCCATTGCTGGTTGCCATGGCAGCAGCCAAAGCGCTCGTGGCACTGTGGCTCATCTCCGTCTGTGGCCAATGGGAAATCTACTTTCCCGTACCCCGTGTGGATGTGGAGTGTCGGGCTGCCGTGTTTTGGTGGCTAGGGGAGCAGGCGAGGAAGTGGGACTCGAGGAGAAAGGCTGTGTGCTCCCACACAGGCTCCCTACGCTTCTGGGTTTGGGGAATCTCTAGTCTGTTTGGAGCTGCTTCATCAGCCAGGCCGCAACAGTGGTCCTCCTCCTGCGCAGCATCTGTGTCGAGGACCGCGCTAAGATCTCTGCGTGCAGTTCGCACTTAACCCTCCCAGCAGCCTGAGAAAGAAGCGTCAGGATTGCCTCCATCTGATAGATTAAGGGTCGAGGCCCCAAAAGGCTAAGTAACCTGCCCACGCCATCCATCAAGTCGGTGGAGAAGCCTGTTTCCTGTGCAGCTTCCTTCCACACAGGCATCGTACTGTCCTACTACTCAGGGAGTTATAGTGTCGTACCGCCCCCCTTGCCCCCAGACATGGATTATGGGTTTGGATGAATACAGGGCCTGCCTTCCCCAATATCTCAGGCCACGGTTCTACCAAATGCTTGAGCATGGCATAACAGGCTTTCTAGCTGGGCCCTGGTTGTCCACTCCCCAGCTGCTAAGCTCGGTGCCACTCAGCACAGGTCTGTTAAGAGAGCCAATTTCCCAGGCCCCACTCCTATCCCATAGGTAATCATTACAACCAAGAGGCTCCCTTGCCCCTTTCACCTTGCCATCCCCACTGGGGAAAACCCCAGCCCTGTCGAAGTGAACTCTCCACCTGTGCGCTTGTGGGGAAACACAGCCACGCTGTAGGGTCTCATTTTAAAATTGTAGTCGTCATCGGGGCGCCTGGCTGGCTCAGTCGGTTAAGCATCCGACTCATGGTTTCGGTTCAGGTCATGATCTCATGGGTAATGAGATCGAGAGCCCCGCGTCAGGCTCCGCGCGCGCAGCATGGAGTCTGCTGGAGATTCTCTCCTCTGCCCCTCTTCCCACACACAAGCATGCACGTGCGCTCACTTGCTCATTCTCTCAAATGAATAAATAAATCTTTAAAAAAATAAAATAAAATTGTGGTCATAAACCTCATTAGGGTCATGAGCCCTAATGCTACTCAGCACTGATACTGCATCTCCCTAGGCCCATTGCCTTGTCCCAGGGGTGAATTCCTACCCTCTCCTCACACTTCAGCAGCTCCTCTCCCACCGTTCAGCTCCCCCTGCCGAGGCCCTTGCTTCAATCCTTGCCATTTCTCTTGGCTCTCACCTGGCCCCTCCCCACTCCCACCTGAAGCCGGCTTCTCTCAGGGACATCATGGCACCGGTTACTCGGGCTTTCTCCTCTCTTCAGTCTTCCGTCCTCCACTGGATCTGGCCTGTCAGTATACCAACATGCTGTGAATGCCCCAATGCTTGAAAAGAAACCCAAAAAGCAAAAAAAGAGCAGCTTTTTACCCATTTCTCCCTCCAGCTCCTACCTTGTTTCTTTATAGCAAACTGTGGAAAGGGTGTTCATGTTCTTTCTGTAAGCCAGCTCACATGGGATTTTGTCCTCCCTGTCCCACTGGAAATGTGCTCGGCAAGGTCATCAGTGGCCACTTCTCCATCCGCATCTCCCTTGGCTGGTCAGCTGTGTTTGGTTCAGTTGCTTTGCTCGACGAGTCTTCCTCGGCATCCTTTGCCCTGACTTGGCCTCCAGGACACTTCGCTCTCAGCGTCCTTCCCTCATCACTGGCTTCTCTGTCTCTGCGGATTCTTCTCGGTTCCCTGACCGCTGTATGTCGGAGGGCGCCAGGGCTCAGGCCTCTCCCTTTTCCATTCGCATCCCCTGCCCTGGTGATTGAGATCCCCGTCCTCCAGCATCCAACACCATGCCAGATGTATGGCTCCAGCCTGGGCCTCTGCACTCGCAGCTGCATTACACCCCCGTCTGTGCCACATCTTCTCCTGCCGGTCCAGGAGGCATCTCAGATAAACTTGTCCACAAGCACGCCCCTGATCTTTCCTCCTGTGTCTTCACTGTCTCAGCTGACAGCAGCCCCGTCCTTCCACCGCCCAGGCCAGAGACCACAGGGTCATCTTTGACCCTCTCCACCCCACAGCCAGTCCTTTAGGAACTCCTGGCAGCTCCATCTTCAAAAGATCCCAGACCCCAGCCATTTACCCCTGCCCCACTGCCATCTGTCACCTGGATCGTGCAGCACTCTTCGGGGTCTCCCTGCATCTGTCCTTGCCTCCCTTCATCTCTTCTCTACATGGTAACCAGAGTGATCCTAGTAAATTGCAAATCAGTGCATGCGACTCCTCTGCCTAAAACCTTACAGTAGCTTCCATCCCCACCTAGAGTCAACTCCCCGGGCCCCTTGCCTGCCACCCCCCCCCCCACCAGGGCCCTCAGGGATTTACCCCTTATTATCTCTCAGATTTCATCCCAAGACTCTTCCTCCATCCTCCTTGTGCTCCTTGAATACATAAGCATGCTCCCCGCTCCAGGCCTTTGCACTTGCTGTCCCCTCTGACTGGAATTCTCCTCTCCCAGATACTGATGGGCAAGGCTCACTGCCCCTGCCCTATTCTGGGCTTGACCCAAAAGTCACCTTCTCAGTGAGGTCTTCGTTCCTTCCCCCTCCCCTCTCTTATCCACCCTTACTCCCTTTTCTCTGTGCCACATCCCCCCACCTAGCATTTGTCTATATCACAGATTTTAGGGGATACGTGATTTTCACATTTTCCCAAATCTCTAAAATCATGATGCAGTTTATACTAGATGACAGGTCATAGTTTAAATGGTAACTATTTTTCTTTCTTAGAGTGCAGGAAATAGTATATTGCATAATTGATGGCATCTCAGATTCCATGAAACACAATATAGTATTTACTTACTGATTTGTTTATCTGATTCCCCCAGACTGGAATGTAAGCTCATGAGGGCAGAGATTTTTATCTGCCTTAAATTCTCCTGTATCCCCAGCACCCAAAACAGTGTCTGGCACATAGAGGCCACTTAGCATGTGTGTGTGTGTATTGAATAAATAAATGAATGCCCTCAAAGTGAATCGTTTACCAAAGTAGACCATATTCTCACCTATGAGCCAGCCCAAAATAGACAGCATTATCTTGTTGGAATTCATAGTAATCTGATGGCAATGTTACACCTCAAAGCTGTCATTATATTCATTCCCCCTTGCCCCTCAGACATGGGCTGGCAAGTTCTGAACTATAATATCTGATGCATTTGCCTGTCTTTGAGCCCCTTGGGGGCAGAATCTTATCTTACATGTTTCTATGTAAGTCTGCTGCAAAGTGCTTGGAGGATATTTATTAAGTGAATAAATGAGTAATATACACACATTTGTGTATATTTAAATGTATTACAGGTGCCTAAAATACACCAGGCATTCAATACCTGAATTGACTCGAGTCGTGCAGGTGGGAGTTACTTACCTTGTTTTCCTCACTCACCACTGCTGTAGAAATTAACCTTTAGCCACACGGGTTTGCACAGTCCATACCATGCCCTGGTCCGTCCTAGCAGAAGGAAAAATGAGGGAAAGGGATCCCAGGGGGCTTGGAGAGGATCATCCCAGGGCCACCACTTGGCTACTGGCCCGCTTCACAAACCGGCTCGTGGTATTTCGACTACCCGTTGGCACAGCCACTGTTGTGTTAGGGGATGGTGAGTCAGCCAAACCCCAGACCTGGTCAGGGCTCCTCAAAAGAAGGCATGTTGAAACAATAAGGCCTCTGAGGAATGGTGAGAATTATTTTATCATTCTGCCATGAAGGATGTACGTCACCGGAAATAAATCATCTCCCTGGGAGTTTATATTCAGTTAGGGTAATTTGGTGTCGTTTGCCTTCATCTTAAGGCATCCGTTTACACAGTTCAAAGAAAAGCTGTCTAGAAAGATTAAGGACAAATCTTGTTCCCCTGCCCCTTGTACCCAATCCCCCACCTATCCTAGATTAGCTAACCACTTTGGTTAGTGTTGTATCTTTCCATCCTTTCTTGTTGCACATATGTTCCTGTGATAATGTTCATGCTCCCTTGCACCTCAAATATGGTGCAAAATGTATGTATAGAGAGAGAGAGAACGTATTATTCTCATCCCCCTTCCATCTCTCTTTTTTTTTTTTTGAGAGAGAGAGAGAGCAAGAGAGGGGAGAGTCAAACGGAGAAGCAGACCCGATGTGGGACTCGATCCCGGGACTCCAGGATCATGACCTGAGCTGAAGGCAGTCACTTAACAAACTGAGCCACCCAGGCACCCCCTCTTTCCATTTCTTATACAAAAAGTAGCATACTGCATATTCCATTCTGCACTGTTCTGGGTTTGTTTTGTTTTGTTTTTTTCCCTTAACAATACAGCCTGGAAATCTCTCCACATCAGCACCTAGAGATCTTCCTCATTTTTTGTACATAGCTATATAATATCCCATTGCATAGATATATTATAGTTTATTCCTCCAGTCTCCTGTTGCTGGAGCTTTGAGTTGTTCAAAATCTTCTACACTGGTCTTGGTGATGATTTTTTGGGTCTGACTCCAAAACCACAAGCAACAAAAACAAAAACAAGTGGGACTACGTCAAACTGAAAAGCTTCTGCACAGTGCAGGAAATCATCAACAAAATGAAAAGGCAACTACCAAATAGGAGAAAATATCTGCAAGTCATGTATCTGATAAAGGGTTAATATCAAAAGAGTATAAAGCACTCATACAACTCCATAGTAAAAAAAGCAAACAATCCAACTTAAAAACGTGCAGAGGTTCTAAATCGTCATTTTTCCAAAGAAGACATACAGAAGGCCAACAGGCACATAAGATGATCACCATCACTAATCATCAGGGAAATGCAAATCAAAATCACAGTGAGATAGCACCTCACACTTCTTGGAATGGCTATTATCAAAGAGACAAGAGAGAGCAGATGTTTGCAAGGATGTGGAAAAAGGAAAAGCCTTGTGCAGTGTTGGTCAGGCTGTAAATCATTATGCAGGGCCGCTATGGAAAACCGTAGGGCGGTTCCTCAAAAAATTAAAAATGGGGTTACAATGCGATCTAGCAATCTCACAACGGTATATAAACAAGGTTTTGAAGAGATTCTTGCACATTGTGTTCATAGCAACATTATTCACGATAGTCAAGAGACAGAAGCAACTCGAATGTGTATCCATAGATAAATGGATTAAAAAATGTGGTCTCTGGGGCGCCTGGGTGACTCAGTCAGTTAAGAGTCCCGACTCTTGATTTTGGCTCAGGTCACAATCTCAGGGTCATGAGATTGAGCCCCATGTCAGTCTCCGTGCTGGGCTGGAGCCTGGTTAAGATTCTGTCCCTCTCCTTCTGCCCCCACCTCCCCAGCCTGGCTTGCACGTACACGCTCTCTCTCAAAAAAAAAAAGGGGGGGATCTCTATATATAATGGAATATTATTCAGCCTTAAAAAGGAAAGAAATCCTGACACATGCTACAACACAAATGAACCTTGAGAACATTATGCTAAATGAAACAAGCCAGTCACAAAAAGACAAATGTATTTATATGAGGTGTCTGAAGTAGTCACATTCATAGAAACAGAAAGTCAAATGGTGGTTACTAGGGACCAGGGGAAGGGAAAAGGGAAATTGCTTAATGCGTATAGAATTTCAAATTTGCAGGATGAAAAAGTACTAGAGATCTGTTTCATGATGTAAATATAAACACTATTGAACTGTACACTTAAAAGTAAGAGGGCAAATTTTATGTGACAACATGGATGGACCTTGAGAACATACTAAGTGCAATAAGCCAGAGAGAGAAAAACAAATACTGTATGATCTCACATGTGAAATCTAAAAAACCAAATTCACAGAAACAAACAACAGATTGGTCGTTGCCAGAGGTGGGGGAGTAGGGGAAACGGGTGAAGGTGATCAAAAGGTACAACTTCTAGTTATAAGTAAATTCTAGCCATGTAATGTACAGTGTGGGGACTGTATTGCATATTTGAAAGTTCTGCTTCTCCCTCTGACCCTCCCCCATCTCATGCTGTCTCTCTCTCATCCTCTCTCAAATAAATAAATAAAATATTTTTTTAAAAAAATGAAAGTTCTTAGGACAGATCTTAAAGCTTTCATGTGAGGTGATGGATGTTAACTGAACTTGCTGTGGTAATCATTTCACAATACATATTATACCAAATCTTTATTTTTTTTTTAAAGATTTTATTTATTTATTTGACAGAGAGATACAGAGCGAGAGAGGGAACACAAGCAGGGGGAGTGGGAGAGGGAGAAGCAGGCTTCCCGCGGAGCAGGGAGCCCGATGTGGGGCTCGATCCCAGGACCTGGGATCATGACCTGAGCCGAAGGCAGACGCTTAACGACTGAGTCACCCAGGTGCCCCCCAAATCTTTATTTTTTTAAGTAAACTCTGCACCCAACCTGAGGCTCAAACTCACGACCCTGAGATAAAGAGTCCCATGCTCTACCGACTGTGCCAGCCAGGCGCCCCCCAAATCTTTATGTTGTACAACTTAAACTAGCACAATGTTACATGTCAATTATATTTCAGTAAAATTGGGGGGCAGGAGATGGTAAATTTTATGTTTTTTATCATAATTTAAAAAAAAGAAAAATACATACAATAGGTGTTCAATAAAGATTTGGTGAATGAGTAAACCAATGAATAAGTTAGTGAATGAGTGAGTTATGGAAAATGATTCACAACTAGTCCTTTCCTCTTCCCAGAAGCTCCCATCCCCTCTGGGGGTGTTTTTCCTACTTTCCCCAGGAGCGGAATTCCCCAGAATACCTTGTCAAGCCCTGGCTTATCCTCTTGCCTTTTCCCATCCTCAACAGGGAGGCGCCCAGATCAGCCTGGCTGAGGTCTGTCGGTCTGGGGAGAGGTCGACTCGCTGGTACAACCTACTGAGCTACAAATACTTGAAGAAACAGAGCAGGGAGCCCAAACCCGTGGGAGCCAAGGTCCCCACCCCAGGGCCTGAAAGCACGGTAAGCTGGGCCCCGGGTTGGCCCCACCCTCCTATGTATGCAGCACCTGGATGGTTGGAAGGAAAAGCCTCTCCCAGAATTGGAGAGGGCTGGGCATCAGAAGTGGGGGAAGCCGCAGAGGGAATTGGAACGGAGAGGGAGAGGAGGACAGGTTAGGAGGGGCCTCTGCTGAGGGGCAGGTAGCCCCCCATCTGCACATCTTCCACATCTGTGCTCTCGCCCTCTGCACTTCCCTTGACATAATAGAACTTGGCTGACAAAAGCCTTAATTTATGTGTTTTTTTTAGTGACGTGGAGAAGGAAGGAGAAATCCGTGCAAGGTAGAAAATTGACCTTTATTGAGGTGCTGCTATCTGCGTAGTGGTCCGTAGTGGAGGCTTGCTCTAAGAGGCAACAGAAAGTCACAGGAAGGACAGTCAGAAGACTGGGTATTTGTTAGTTGGGTGACAGGTCAATCATTTCACGTCTCTGAGACTCTGTTTTTTTCATGTCTAATCTGAGTCTGAAAAAGGTTATTAGGAAGGTTTGAAGAAGTACATGTAAAGAACAGTCAGTACTTGGTTACTCTGGATAGTCATTGCCCAGAATTTCAGGGGAAGGGATGGGCTAGGTCATACAGGTAAGGGAAAGTGTAAGGATTAAATCTGTTTCCTCCTCGCCACCTCCACCTCCTTTTTCATCCTTCTCATTTTCTGCACTTCCTTTTGTGTCGGGCACTGTCCTGTTTATAACGTGCCATTTACCAAGGCTCAGAAAGGTTACCTAAGGACATACATCCAGTAAGCAACAAAGGTAGGTCTCCCTCACTCCAAAAAAGGAGTCTGTGAGCTGGTAAAGGTCTCGAAAACATCCTCTGCTTTCTAGAGCATGTCCTTGGGTGAGTGACGTCAACCCTAGACACGTTCGTTTCCTTTTTCCCATTTCTCAAGGGAATAATCATAAGCTCTACCTATCAGAATAGTTGTGAAGATTAAATAAGATGCTACACATAAGCTGTCTATCAGTGCAGGACATATACCAGGCCTTCGATTGATTTTTCTTCCCTCTTCCCCAAAAGAAAATTTCAGGGAGTTTTCAGGCTCTGGCCCACACTACCAAGGGTGTTTGCAAATTAACCATATGCTCAGAAAACTACAGGATCAGTTTTTGCTTTACTGTTAGCTGCCATTTACTGAGTGCTAATTATGTGCTCAGTGCGCTTCTATATACCATATGGACATATTCTCAATTAATCTTCATAATTTTGTGGTAGTTATTAGAAATTACTGTAGAGGGAACTGAGTCTCAGAGAGGTTTCCTCAAGTCACATAGGCTTCCTCACTGTAGACACCAGTCAGTATAGATATTCTTCCTCCAGGAAGTCTTCCCTGAATGCAGCCCCCAAGCTGACTTTGCCATTGCTCCTTTGTTCGAAACGTCACATTGTTTTGTTATTGACAGTTCATGTGATGGTCTCCCCGACTATACTACAGTCTCTTTACAGCCCAAGACCTAGAATTCTGCCTCCCTCAACTACTAAACTAGACTGTCTTCCAAAAGTCTGTCCATGCATACAGGGGCTATTCTCAGGAGAACTGCCAGCTAGATGAACTGAGTGCTGTATTTCCAGTTTATAAGTGACCGGGGGGTAAGGTGCTTACCCACTCTGGTCTTCAGTTTCACTCCCAGTCCAGGGGGAGGGTCACACTCTGAGCTCTGATTCTTGCCAGGTGAGGTGGCTCCAGCGGCATGCAGATGAAGCCATGGGCTTTGTCTCCACAGGATGCCGTGTCTGCTCTGTTGGAACAGACAGCAGTGGAGCTGGAGAAGAGGCAGGAGGGAAGGAGCAATGCACAGACCCTGCAAGACAGCTGGTAAGTGAGCACTCGCCTCCGGAGCCTCCGGAACTGATCTGGCATGGACCTGGACACAGGAATGAGATGCCCAAACTCCAGGCAACCAAGAGAAGCGTTCCCCTGGGAAAACTGAGAACCTCTCTCCTCACAGGTTCTCTACAGGCAACAAGGCAGTGCAGTTGACCCTTGAACAACGCAGGGGCTGGGGCACAAAGCCACGGCACAGTCGAAAATTGACATAGAACTTTTGACTCCCCCAAAACTTCACTACTAACAGTCTACTGTTGACCAGAAGTCTTACCAATAACAAAAACAGTGCAGGGCTGCCTGGGTGCCTCAGTTCGTTAAGCAACTGCCTTCGGCTCAGGTCATGATCTTGGAGTCCTGGGATCGAGTCCCACATCGGGCTCCCTGCTCAGCAGGGAGTCTGCTTCTCCCTCTGACCCTACTCCCTCTCATGCTCTCTGTCTCTCATTCTCTCTCTCGCACATAAGTAAAAAATCTTAAAAAAAAATTTTAAAAAAACCAAAAACAGTGCATTAATACATACTTTGTATGTTATATCTATGATAAACTATATTCTTACAAGAGAGTAAGCTAGAAAAAAAAGGTTTGTTAAATTTTTTTTTTAAAGATTTTATTTATTTGAGAGAGAGAGAGCGCACAAGCAGGGGGAGCATCAGGCAGAGGGAGAAGCAGACTCCCCGCTGAGCAGGGAGCCTGATGCGGGACTCGATCCCAAGACCCTGAGATCATGACCTGAGCCGAAGGCAGACGCTTAACCGACTGAGCCACCCAGGTGCCCCTAAGAAAAAAATGTTAAGAAAATCATAAGGAAGAGAAAATATGTATCCAGCACTGTAGTATATTTATCAAAAAAATCCATATATAAGTGGACCTGTGCAGTTCAAACCCCTGTTGTTCCAAGATCAACTGCATATAGCCTGATATGATGGTTTCCAGAATTTCATCCCAATTGGTCATTTTGTGATCTATAAATCACTCGTGCTAGTTCACATATTAGTGTCTGTGTTTACTCACTTACATGTATTTTGGTAAAAAAAAAAAAAAAATTATATTACTATATATTGAAAGCAAGTATAATCTGCCATAAATGGAAGATGTTTCAATAAGGAATCGCATTTGACTGCTAGGAACAGAGAGTAGAAATAATAGGCTTAAATTAAGATAGTTTATTTCTTTGTTACTTACAAAGAATGGGAAGAAGCAGTCACAGGCTCATCTGTCAGCTCTATGGTGTTGCTGGGAGCCCAGGCTCCTCCTCTCCTTCCACTTTGCTCTTCTTACTGGGTGACTGCCATCACCGAGGCTGCTTTATAGCTCAAAATGGCTGCTGAGTCACCAGCCATCAAGCAGGCATCAGAAAAGTAGAAAGACAAAAGATGTGCCTGTATGCCTTTTAACCATGGAGCATTCCTCAGAGTCCCACCCAGCAATTTCTGCTTGATTCTCATTGGCCAAGCTTAGCCATTTGGCCTACCTAACTGCAAGGGAGGCTGGGAAATGAGGTCTGTGAAGTTGGGTACAAAAATCAGGGTTCTGTTACCAAGGAAGAAAGTGGAAGTGGATCCTGGGTAGGCCATGAGCCAAGTCTGCCTCAGAAGGTAACTGGAAAATTAAATGTAATGAAAATCAAGCAAGAGTATAAAACCCACCTAGACCTACCGCTCACTAAGGCTCTGGGCCTGAAGTCTTCTCTCACTGTTAAACAGGAAGATTAGTCAGTGTTCCGGCAATATTAAAGACATGCGCTGCCAGAGAGACTTCTCCTCGGTGTCCAAAGGAGAACTGGAGACAGCTTTCTCTCGGTGTGCTTCGAGGCTGCTCAGTCTCTTGTATCCCAAAAGAGAGGTCTCCTCACACATTTAGGAAACAATAGTATAGACCAGCTAAGACCAAACCTTAGCTTTGTCCTGTTTTGGTCACCTTTGGCAAAGCATCTTTAACTTTTTCTTGCAGTATGACACGCTTACATAAAAGTTCCCTTGAGCGTACAGCTCAGTGAATTTTCAGAAACCTAAGTACCCATGTGACCAGCATCCAAATCCAGAAGCAGAGCATAACCGGCTCTCTAGAGCCCCATGGTGGGCTTCCTCCCGGCCACTGCCCTCCACCGCAAGGGCAGCTGCTGTCAGACGAGTCATCTAACCTCGTCGGAGCCTCATCTGGAAAAGCGGGGTATCACACCAGCTGCGTGGGCTTAACTGCAGACGGTTGAAGGGAAAGCCACCGTCATGGAGATAAAGCGCAAAGCTCATGGTGGATGCTCAATAGATGGTAGAAATTATCACTCGGAAAATGAGAAGGGAGTCTGTTAACTACCAGCTAGGAAGGGAGAAGGCAAATCCCATCTCAGAAACAACCAGAACCTGTGACTTTGCCCTCCGGGAGGTATTATGGTCAGGCTTTAGTGCACGTGCTCTGAATTCAGATAGCTAGGGATTCGGGGTCTTGCTCAGTCAGCTTCCTGTGGGATCCTTGGTCTGGGTGAGGCCCGAGCCCCAGTGAGTTTTTAAAAAGCTCCCTGGGTGACGCTAACATGCAGTGAGGGCTGACAGCCATGGCTCTAAACCTCCATTTCCGCCTCCATGAAATACAGATTTAAAGAGTGGCCACAACACATGGGATATTTTGTAGACTCAATAGAATTATGCATGATAAGCACTTAGCACAGACTTTGTCCCACAGGAAACACCAGTAGCTCTTCTATATTATTCTGTTACAGCCCCCGGTTATACATTTGGTCTCAGAAAGGGCCTTTCCATAATATCTTTTACTCCAGGGGTCAGCAAATGTTTTCTGGAAAGGGCCAGATAGTAACTCTCTGCTTTGTGGGCCATGCGGGTTCTGGTGCATCTATTCATCTCTGTGGTTGTGCTGTAAAAGGAGCCCTTGATGGTACATGCACCAACCATCATGTCTCTGCCATTGAAGTTTCACTTATGGATGCTGAAATTTGAATTTCATATAATTTGCACATGTCATGAAATATCATTTTCTTTTGGATATTTTTTTTCCAGCCATTTAAAGATATAAAAGCCACTCATAGCTTGGGCTGTCCAAAACTGGCAATGGGATAGATCTGGCCCACAGCCTCACCCCTCTTTTCTCTTTGACCATTTTATTTCTCCATGTGATAAAGGGTAGGGCTTCAAGGTTCCTGAATTTTCGTATGTTCGTTTGTTTGCTGTAGGGCTGTCTCTCAACTGTCTCAATTTCTCTTTCCTTCTTTCTCTCTCCCTGTGTCCCTTTCTTTCGCTGTCTCTCCCTCTCCATCCCTTCCTGCCTCCCCTTTCCTTCCCCCTCCCTCTCTCTTTCTCTCCTTCTCTGTGGCACACTGCTGGGCAGGGCTGGGCTGGGCTGCGCAAAGGTCTGATGCCGGAAATAGGCCCAGGACCTGTCTTCCAAAACCCTGGCACCAGATCAGTGGTTTCTGCCAAATTCCAAGCTTGTGGTGAGACTTTTCAAGCCATCCCCTAGCAACTGCCTTCTGTTCTCTTTCCCCCTTTGCAGCCCCCTCTCTCCCCACCCCTGCCATTCAAACTTCCCTAGACACGGACTCACAAAGAGGACCAGGAATCCCAGAGCTGCTGTACTGGAGTAAATCCATCTGCAGCCCCCCTCCCCACAGACTGGAGGCTTCTTCTGGTCCTGGAATGTTAACTAGCTTTGCTGTGCCTGCTCTGCTCCGGAGTCCTGTGCAGAGGTCCCCCAAAGACTGGCCCTGTTCTAATTTCTGCTCCATCTCTCTCAGTACCCAAGGGCTAGGGTGCCATAGTTACTCCCTCTTTTTATTTGTTTAGGTTTCTTTAGTGCATAAAATTACAAGCCTGGATTTTTTTTTTAAGATCCACAAGCAAAACAAAATTCTAAGAGTATTAGAAAATATAAGAGACTGTAATCACAGACAATGCTAATCACAAACTCCTGTGTTTGCTTCCTTGGGATGTGTGTGTGTGTGTGTGTGTGTGTGTGTGTGTGTGTGTGTGTGTCCGTCCCCGTCCGTCCGTCCAGGGCAGAGGTTGAGAAATGGCATTGCTGCGTCCCAGGGCACGTGTGCTTTATATTTTAATAGGCATTGCAGAATAGTTCTCAAATAAGATTGTACTAGTAAATGCTCCCACCAGCAGTGATTAAGAGTACCCTTAAGCCTACACCCTCTCTGATGCTCAATATAATCTAACTACAGTACTTAATCAAGAATACGTACATATTTTATTTTAGCAGATACTGCTAAACTGACTTCAGAGTGCAAATTGGCTGCTCTGAGGTACACTCCCTGCAGGGATATGCCTATTTCCCATGCCTTCACCAGCACTTGATATGATCTCGTATCTATATATTTTGCCACTCTAAAAAGTGAGAAGATGTTGTCTACTTTAATCATGTTTCTCTTGACAATTGAGTTTTTTTTTTTCCCCTTTCCGGAAATATTTAGATCAGATTCATGGTCAAAAAGAAAAGACTTCCATAGTGGTCAAGCACTTAGTGGAGTTGGACAGATTGGATGGGAAACCTGGCTGCACCCTTTAGTGGTCTGTGACACTGGACAGGACCTAGAAACTCTCTGATCCCCAGCTTTTGAATCTGTAAAATGGAAACAGTAATCGCTTTCAGTGTTCTTGTAAGGCCTTAGCATAGCACCTGGTGCTTATTAAGCCTTCAGTAAATGCTGGTTAATGTGGCATCTGCCAAATTCTTAGGGAGGTGCTCGTCGTACATTCCCATGTTTAATGGCCCTTTTATGAGTAGATCAAGAAGCTGTGGGGCAAAGGAGGGAGAGCAAGGGGTGTCCATTAGCACCGGTTCCCATCTAAGGGCAGGGGAGGTTTTAGTCCTGTGGCTGGGGCTGGAGATCCAAGAAAATCCCAAGGGAGATTTTATGCCTGTCCACAGTCTCACTGAGCCAGCTAACAGGATGTCATATTCTCTGCTTTTGGCTTGAATTCTTTCAGCTCAGTATGGCAACACTGTCTCCTGCGGATCAGAAGCCTGGTGATTATTTATGTCTTTGAGAAGATGGGACTAAAGATAAATTAGTAATTAACAAATGCAGTCCATTTGTCACAACAGCTCCTCCCAACCCTGGAGTCCAAAGGGAAAGAATAATCATGAAAAGTATCACCAAAACTAAACTCTTTTCTTTTTTTTTTTTTAAAGATTTTATTTATTTATTTGAGAGAGAGAGAATGAGAGACAGAGAGCACGAGAGGGAAGAGGGTCAGAGGGAGAAGCAGACTCCCTGCTGAGCAGGGAGCCTGATGCGGGACTCGATCCCGGGACTCCAGGATCCTGACCTGAGCCGAAGGCAGTCGCTTAACCAACTGAGCCACCCAGGCGCCCCAAAACTAAACTCTTTTCAACACATGGTGCCAGAACACCATTGGATATCCATACAGGAAAAAGGCGGGGGGGGCACCTGGGTGGCTCAGTCAGTTAAGCGGCTGCCTTTGGCTCAGGTCATGATACCAGGGTCCTGGGATCGAGCCCTGCGTCAGGCTCCTTGCTCAGCAGGAAGCCTGCTTCTCCCTCTCCCTCTCCGTGTTCTAGCTCTCTCCCAAGTAAATAAATAAAATATCTGAAAAAAAAGGAGTGGGGCGCTGGAGTGACTCAGTTGAGCGTCTGCCTTTGGCTCAGATCTTAATCCCAGAGTCCTGGGATCGAGCCCCACATTGGACTCCCTGCTCAGCGGGGAGTCTGCTTCTCCCTCTGCCCCCCCCACCTCTTGCTTATGTGCTTTCTCTCTCTCTCTCTGAAATAAATAAAATCTTAAAAAAAAAAAAAAAGCTTTATTCATAACTGCCAAGAAATGGAAGCCAGGGCGCCTGGGTGACTCAGTTGGTTAAGTGACTGCCTTCGGCTCAGGTCCTGATCCCAGAGTCCCGGGATCGAGTCCCGCATCGGGCTCCCTGCTAGGTGGGGAGTCTGCTTCTCCCTCTGACCCTCCCCCCTCTTGTGCTCTCTCTCAAATAAATAATAAAGAAAGAAAAAAGAAAGAAAAAGAAAGAAAGAAAGAAAGAAAGAAAGAAAGAAAGAAAGAAAGAAAGAAAGAAAGAAAAGAAAATCTCTCAAGGTTTTAAAAAAAAAAAATGGAAGCCATTCAAATGTTCATCACCAGATAGATGAATAGTTATACAAATTGTGATGTATCCATTCCATTGAGAATGCCACTCAGGAATAAAAAGGGGTGAACTGTTGATACAGGCACCCACATAGTTGAATCTTAGAAACTTTAGATGGAGAAAATGAAGCCAGAGACAAAAGAGCACATACTGTCTGATTCCATGTATATGAAATGCTAGAAAACTCAATCTGCGGTGACAAAAAGCTGATCAGGGGTGGGCTGGGGGTAGGGCAAGGTTAAATAGTGTGCAAGAAACCTTTTGGGGTGATGGAATGTTCTGTATCCCAAGTGTGGTAGTGGTTACACAGGGGAATACATCGGTCAGATGAAACTGTACAATGGAAATGCTCTGTGTTGTGTGTCAGTTAGACCTCACCAAGTTTTGTTTGTTTGTTTGAATGTGTCCTCAACTGTGAGAAGGCTTGGAAGCTCTGCCCTAGGTGCATTTAGAGGCAAGTGAGCAGATCAGAGTGGTCTCTGGGCAGGTAACCGAAGCTCTTTGTCGTCACAGGAGGTACGAGGAGACCAGCGAGAACGAAGTGCCGGCAGCGGCGGCGGAGGAGGTTTTCACTGAGAAAGTCTCACCTGCTAGGGGCGAGTGCCCAGCGTTAAAGGTAGGCAGGCCCAGAGAGACAGGAAGGGCTGTCTTGGGGAAATAGCCCTCCGTGCCTGGCCTTCTCCAGCCTCAGGGGACGGGCCCTCAGAATGGGGTGACTTGCAGAAGGCTGCATAGCGGTGTCCCTGCCCGTACTGCAGGTCATCTCAGTGACAGTAAACTGGCTGTCCCCTCCTCTCTCCTGCCCTCTGCGGCTGCCCTGGTTCTCTGGACTGACCTCACGCTTTGTAGCCAGATGGGTCTGGGTTCAGATGCTGGCTCTGCTCTCTGGCTGTGTAGTCTTAGGTGGGTGACTTCATCCCTTCCAGCCTTCCTTTCCTCATCTCTAAAACGGATACAGTAATACCAACCTGACTGACAGGTTCTAAGGTTTCAAAGGAATGTATTTCTTTGTTTGGGTCTGCCCAAAGTACAATAGGAAAAAGGAGCCCAGTCAGGTTCCCCTTGCCACCTCTGCTGCGCTAGGGTTACACACGATAGCCAGATTCACTCTGCATAGAGATCTCTCTGTCTTTTCCACCGGCAGGAAATAGAGCACCCTATTGTGTGCGAGCAGGGCACCTGAGGGTGGAGCTGCGGGTTGCGCACTGCACAAAGGTGCCCGGCCAAGAGGGGCTGGAGAAGAACCTAGGGCCGCCTTCCAACTGCTCCACACCCAGAGGAAAGTCTTTTTGCAGTCTCTCCAGCCAGAAGGGCTGCCTTTTTCAAAATTACACAAAGGCACTGTAGGCTTACAGGGCCCTGCATTCAGGTGTTCTCATTTGTTTGTCTTTTGCTGGTGACCACTGTAAAAGGACAGTAGAAAACCTGCTCACCGAGTTGAAAGGCTGAGATTTGCGGATTGCCTCCATGATTCCAGGGAAGTATCTGCAGTTCTTGGCTGCAGCACTGGAGGCCTTGGGTGTGGCTTTGTCAAAATGTGGTTAGCATAGATGTCTAGAGGGTATGAAGTCAAGGGCATCCGTCCTTATACTGCTCAGTGAGCTTGTTTGGGGACTGAATATGCTCCTACCCACGTGGAGGAATAGGGGCCCAGTAGTTGGGGCCTTGAGTGTTGTCCTGGCTGTCAGGGCGAGGGCCTACGAAGCCCCCAGCTGTTATCTGTGGGGTCAAAGTCCAGATGACGGGAGTAGGGAGCAGCTGGGGAGTCTGCCCCACGAGTCTCATCTGGGTGGCCGAGACAGTGTGGATACGAGTGGCCTCAGAGCTCTGACTTCTCCTTCAGGTGGACAAAGAGACCAACACAGAGACCCCAGCCCCATCTCCCACAGTGGTGCGGCCCAAGGACCGCCGGGTGGGCGCACCATCCCCAGGGCCCTTTCTTCGAGGGAGCACTATCATCCGCTCTAAGACCTTCTCCCCAGGACCCCAAAGCCAGTATGTGTGCCGGGTAAGCAAATGCGTGGTACTGCCCTCCTCCCCGAACACCTGCTTCCCAAGGAGTAGTGAGAGCCTTGGACCTCACAGCGTTCTGGGTGCAAATTCTGGTGACTCCTACTTTGTCAGCTATCCTCAGGTGAGTTAATGCCTCAGTGCATGTGGAGTTAATACACCAACTTCAAAGGACTGTTTTAGGGATTGAATTAGATAAAATATAGGAAAAGCTTGGTAACCTGTACAAGGCCAATGTTTTGTTTTGGTTTTTTTTTTTTGTCATTCCATCCAGCTCTCCCCTCCTTCTTCTTCACAGCCTGCCCTTCCCTTCTACACGACCACTTGCTAAGATCAGACTGACGCCTCGCTGTCCCTGAGTGGGCATTTCTTCCCCACTTCCGGGGTGATCCTAGCGTGTGGCCTGAGGTTGCAAAAAGGCAACGTGCCTGTACTATTTAGCCACAGGTTGGTTGGTTGGTTTTCATTAAACCTGTTGCTAACCTTTAAAACTTAGGGAACGCCATTAAAAATAAAATAAAAAGAGATTTCACATAAAATTCTAGTTTCTCTTTAAAAAAAGAAACAGCCTGCCCCCATGGGCTGCACATTCTCTGACGGCGGCAGTTGGCTGGAGCTAAGCAGCTGCCCTTAGATGACTGGCTGATTGGAGAGGGCAGGCTGTCGAGTTCAGTCTGGCCACCTGGCCCTCTTTACCTGTTCTGGTTGCTAGCCTTCTCTTACAGGCTGCACTGGAGTGGAGAAGTCCTACGGTAGGCTTTTGCTCCCTCGCACCTTTCCCTATGTATCCATCTCATTAGGCTCCCCCTTCCTAGGCCAGCCTCCTTCTCTCATTCTACTGTAAATGGAACATTTTAGCACTTACCACACCTGAGGGGGTCCCAGCCTTCCTCAGGGATGGCGCCGGTAGGACACATGCACACCTCACCGCAGTCCTGGGTCAACATCCTTCCTTACCCTCTGCCATGGAGAACCCCAAACATTAACTAGAAGCATAGACAGAACTTTCCCTGTCTAGTGTTCCAATAAGTCATCATAGAAGGAGAAGCCCATGGAACCCAGGCTATATCATCAACCTGCCACTTACCCTTCTATTGTGATTTGGGAGGCAGAGGGGATATTGAGGGGCACTTTCAATATCTGATATTCAGGGGCGCCTGGGTGGCTCAGTTGGTTAAGCAACTGCCTTCGGCTCAGGTCATGATCCTGGAGTCCCGGGATCGAGTCTCGCATCTGGCTCCCCGCTCAGTGGAGAGTCTGCTTCTCCCTCTGACCCTCCCCACCTCATGCTCTCTCTCTCCCATTCTCTCTATCAGATAAATAAATAAAATCTTTAAAATGTAAATAAATAAATAAATATCTGATATTCAGTATCCATGGCCAAAATTATAAGATTGAGTAGAGAAGCTAATTTTTTCATTATATGGCAGTGTCACCAACTTGCTAGCTACTTACCAGTTATTCCCCACAAAAACATTCCCCTGGTCCCTCCCAGAAATAACATAAATCCCTCCCCTCTGTGTCATACCTCTAGCTAATCGTTTGAGCTTGTAAGCATCTGCACGTTGGCTGCATATCTTGGGAAAGGTACAAAGGTACAGAGTTTCCTGAAGTCATTGAATGTAATGTTGATGTTAAGGAATTCCTGAATCACAGGTGAAGAATCCTGCAGTTAAGCCAGCTCACAGCTAAAGAAGAGAAAAATCCAGCTCATGTTGCAAATGTGAATAATTTGAAGGATTTAGAAAAGCCCTTAGGATAATGGATGAAACCTTCTGGTTTGGGCAGAATTACCAGTTTTATGACTGTGCAGTGGAATTCAAATACAAAGTAAAGAAGATCACTCATCAGAAAAATCACACCAAAGAAATTAGTGTTTGATTCATTCTTTTTCATCAGAATTAGAATGCAGTTGTAATTTTGTCAAATGGAAGACAGAAGATATAACTTTTATAAAGTGTTTCCCCTTTCCACTAAAGACTCAAAGTTTCTTTCCCCAATATTTACTATAAGATTCTGGTCCCCTGTTGTTGTTTTTTTGTTGTTGTTTTGTTTTGTTTTTTAAGATTTTATTTATTTATTTGTCAGAGAGCGCACAAGCAGGGGAAGCGGCAGGCAGAACAGGCAGAGCGAGAAGCAGGCTCCCTGCTGAGCAAGGAGCCCAATGCGGGACTCGATCCCAGGATCCCAGGATCAGACACTTAACTGACTGAGCCACCCAGGCATCCCTGGTACCCTGTTTAGATGGACTCACTTTTAGTGGCCCTTTCCCAGGTTTGGCATCTTCAAATAACTCCGATGCTATTTATTAAGCATCTGTAACACACCTAGCACCACGGGGCGGCCCTTCCCATGTTTCATTATCTGGACCAAATTCCAACCCTGCAAGGCTGCAAATTAAGAAATCCCCAGGCAGCGTGCATCCCATGCAACAGGCAGAAAGGGCCTCTCTTACAGCAAAGCCAAAGTGACGTAAAGTGGAGAAACAGTTATCATTCATTTTTATGGAAAAATTTTTTTAGCATTCCCAGACCTAAAAAATAACCTCTCTCAGGCTTTTCTGATACCTTGGGACACAGCTCACTAAAAGATGCACAACGTAAATCAAGATAAAGCACAGAAGCTCACAGACACGGTTCAAAACTATGGGAGCTGGATGCTGAGATGCTCAGCGTAGTGCTGGGGAAGGAGCGTGGTGGTGCCCCGTCCTGCTCCGGGTGCGGCTGCCTCCATAAGGGCTCACTACAAAACAGACACTGAGCGTTGTTCTATGTTTTGCCTTTTTCATAAAAGTGAAAATCCTCCTCACATTTCTTTTGGCTAGCGAAAACAGGGACTAATGTGGGTCTTTTATGAAAGCAAAGCAATGTCACGTGAACTTTCAGAAAGCAGGGATGCCTGTATTTTTCCTTTTTTGCTTTCTGACTGTCCTACTTCAGCCCAAGGTTATCTCTTTCGTGTAAAATCTTACTGAAGGCTGCAGGAAGAAGCCAGTGGTACAATATCCTGCATTTTTTCCTATCATTTCCCCTAAAACTCTGTTGGCATATAGTCTGGTAACAACTTAACCCTCCGTTTTGAACCCACAAAATGAGTCTGACCAGATTCCCAACAGGAAATATTGGGGTCTGGGCCCCAACCTACCCTCCGGGACACAGCTCCATGTTTCCCAGTCTGGGACTTACAGCACTCTACTTCTGGTATCCAGGCCTATGCCAGTCAGGTTCTTAATGGAAGCAACAGAAACAGACTGTGAGAGGGACGCCTGGTGCCTCAGTCAGTTAAGCGGCTACCTTCGGCTCAGGTCACGATCCCAGGATCCTGGGATCGAGTCCCACATTGGGCTCCTTGCTCAGCGGGGAGCCTGCTTCTCCCTCTCTCTCCCTCTGCTTGTGCTCTCGCTGTCAAATAAATAAAATCTTAAAAATAAATAAATAAAATCAAATAAAGAAACAGACTGTGAACAATAGATGCGGGAAAGAATCTTTTGGAAAAGAAACCGAGTAGCTCACATATTCATTGGAAGGGTTGGAAGGCTGCAGAACCAGCCTCAGAGATCAGATGGGAAGAGGGCAGGCCAGACCCCAAGCAAAATAGCCCACAGAGCCCATCAGCTGAGGATACTAGCAGTGCTGCTGCTAAGCCTGGCCCAGCTGGTCCCACTGCTGCTGCCGGGTTCGACATCAGTACCTCCCCCAGAGGCTCCTGCCCTGCAGGAGGCCAGAGCAGCTCTGCCTGTTGCCACCACCCCTCCTTCCCTCCCTGAGATACAGATATGGCCTGCTCATGGAACAAAAGCAGGTGGGCTCATCAGCTCCGAGAGGCCCAGTAACAGAGCATTGGGTCCAGCTAACCAGGCTGTGATCCAAGGCCTGAGGCAGTTGCCCCCAATGGGCAGAGCCTCGTCCTGTGCCTGCTGGTAGCTGCAAGCGAGGCCGGGAAAGGTAGCCTCCGGTACTGCCAGCTTCCTTGATGGAAGGTGGGCTGTGTCTCCTACCTTGAGTCCTAAGCTGGGGATTTCCCCACCCATGGGATGGAGTTTGGGATGCTAAGCAGCAACCTTTCCCACAAAAAAGCACATGTTTTCTGTGTCATCAAATCTCAGAAACAGCCCTGCAACGCAAATGGTGTCTGCCCCGTTTCACAGATGCGGAAATTGAGACTCAGAAAGTCAGAGCACTTTGCTCTGGGTCACACAGCTTATTGGATGCAAAGCCAGGAGTCTGACTGCAGAGTCCACAGCCTTTCTATCACTCAGAGCCACCGCCCAAAGGACTTCCTTTGCCGTCCCCCAGGCTACTTAAGACTTGTCTCTTCTGCTGGCCTGATGCCACACTTCTGCATACCAGGTGTCCTCTGCTGGCTTCACCCTTCTTTGATCTTCAGCACAGCCTGTGTCATTTGGTTAGTTTCCCTGAATTGGGCCCCCCGCTGAACTTGAAGTCCATGAGCATAGGGACAATGTATTATACTCCCTCCAGCTCTCCACAGCCCCTGTGTATTTGACACCCACGTAGTTCCCAGTGGTGCTGTCACACGCGTTGGTCAGCTCACCCTGACCTGATGAATACAGTTCTTCCAAAGTTCTCGTTCTCAAACTAGCTGCCTGTGACTGCCAGTCATTTCACCCCTTTTTCCTGGTTTCCATAGTTATTACATGGAAATATAACAGAGTGCCGATATTCTCTACCATGGCTGAGATTAAATGCAGCAACACGTCTTTACATTAGGAAAAGATAAGTTGAAGGATCTAATGTGGTTTCCGTCACTCTTCTCTAACATCATCATTGACCGGTGAATGGCTATAACCTAAGGATCAGTCATCCTGATGAGTAAGTCTAGTTGGTATGACGCAGTCTGTGAGCGTCACCTTGGGATCGGAGCCGTGTGGGATAGAGCCCCCTCCTGGTATGATATCCAGCCAGTGCGCTTGTACAAACCCACCCCCATCAAGATGGCCCGCGCCTCCATCTGTACCTCGTTTCATCTCTGAGCCCTCCGTGCATCCCGGGGGCCAGGAGAGGACCTGGCCTCAGAGTCAGACTGACCAGACGTTCAGCTCTCGTTCTGATGCTCACCAGCCTTGTGGTTTATAAAAGCTTCTTAATCTCCCTGGGCCTCAATTCCCTCCATTAGGACTGTTTGAGGATTAAACGTAGCTGTCCATGAGGCACATGGCGCACATCGTTAGGACCGCTTCTGTTATTCTCTTTCTGGTTCGCATCCGGACTCTGCCTCCTGTGGTAGCTTTTGTCAGTTACGTCCCCGGGGTTGCCTTGCCCATCGACACTGCAGAACTATTAATAGCATTATTACCAATAATTATCAATAATCACAAAAGTAACAGCACAGACAGCTTCTCGGGAGAGAGTGGAGAAGTGGGCAGACAGCTGCCAGAGCGAGGGGGCTCTGTTGCATCAGCCCGTGGCGATCACACCGCCTTGCAAATGTGACTCGAGAAAGAAGCCCCTGTGCTGCATATCCTGGGATGTGCTGTCACTGCAGCCTCCCTCGCCGGCCCCCCTCTGTCAGGGGCACTCTTGGGACAAAAGCACGATCTGCGGCCATGGAGGAGGAGTATTGGCCCTCTGGGGAGAGTACACGAGCAGGGGAGAGCTCCCAGAGCCTGTCTGCGTGTCTTATCTTGGACATTTTGGACACGTGTATCTTGCCGGTGGCTCCATCTGAGCTCCATGGGTGACAGGGAAGAGTTGGTGCAAACAGGCCCTGGTGTGGTAGGTCTGGGAGGGGGGAGGGGCATTAGATCCTGGAGTCACACTATCTGGTGTCCACCCCACGGTGCTGCCAGCCACCTGGGAACCCCGCCACCCTTCTGGCCACAGTGTGCCTTCCAGAGGTACTCGAGTTCTAATTAACTTCCCAGGACTTTTCTCCTGCAGCTGAACCGAAGTGACAGCGACAGCTCGACGCTGTCCAAGAAGCCACCTTTTGTTCGAAACTCCCTGGAGCGGCGCAGTGTCCGGATGAAGCGGGTAAGACAGTCACCGCAGAGCTGTTTGTACGCCTGCCCCACAGTCATCTCCCCAGGTGCATGCCCCCGTGTCTGACCGTTTGTTCTCAGCCAGTGGTGTGAAGAAGGTTGCTTTTGCAAGCATGATGGTGGTTATGAACTGTAAGGCCTGTGTAGGCGCTGGGGAAGGTGCCCAAGGGTAAATGTAACTTTAGGATGATGATGAATAGGTTAGGTCCGGAGTGTGCGTTCTTGGCCTTATCTTCCGGGGTAGAAATCAAAGTCACTAAGAACTAACCAACTCAAGGTGTCCCAGTCACTGATGGAAGCTGCCTCTCACACAACTCTGCTCAGCGTGTCATCCAGCTGACTGAGCAAAGGTTCTGACAGCCCTCCCTGCTGGCAGAGAAGCCAGATACCTCCAAGCCACCACCGGAAGTGGGGAGGTGTAGATGGGCTTCTCTCCGTCCAGCTGGAAAAGCACCGGGAAGAGGCCACAGCCTGCCTTTGCAGAGAAATCTCCCCCTGCCTTAGGGAGTCTTGGCTCAGAGATCGGGGTGGGACAGTCTTAGGCAAAGGACTGACTCCTGGTGTGCGCTTTGTTTCGAGTCAGAGCTACAGAAATGCAAACGGGCCCTTCCCACTCTGGGCTGTCAGCATAGAAAGACTACAGTAGTTCTGGGGAGTTTGCAGAACCAGAAGAAACAGGAGTTGGAATGTCAGAAAGACAAGTAGAGAGAGCAAAACAAAAGGAACATGCAGGGAGAGAGTGCCAACAGCCCCAGGCAGGGGAAGGCTCCTCCACCCCTCCCACAGACCTCCCACAAACCTGCTACTAACAGCAGAGTCAGGGGTAGGTCCTTTGTCTGTCACCACCGTGCCCCCCAAGTCTCCAGAACTAGAGAGTGCAGGAGAAAGGAAGCAACACAGAAGAGGGTGCACACGGTTGGCTGCAGGGGAATATGGACATGGCCTCCGGTGACAAGACTGGCCAGCTGCCGGCCTGGGGTCCCTCCCTCCACCGCTGTCTGCTGTAGTTGGTGCTGCAGAGTGTCTGGAGCACTGAGACTCTTCTGGGGAGGTTACTGACAATACACATTTCCCAGACCACACTCCCAGACAGTCTCATTCAGGCAGCAGGAGTGGGGTCCTAGAAACTGCATTTTAATAAGCTCCCTGGAGTATTCTGGAGCAGGTGTTCCATGATCCACTCCTGGAGAAATGCCTCTAGAAGCACCTGCTTGCTCCCTC